TAGTCAACAATCAGCTCCTTTGTTTTGTTGACGTTGAGGGAGAGGTTATTTTCCTAGCAAACTCCGCCAAGGCACTCACCTCCTCCCTGTAGGCTGTCTCGACGTTGTTGGTAATCAGGCCTACCACTGTTGTGTCATCAGCAAACTTGATGATTGAGTTGGAGATGTGCATGGCCACGCGGTAATGGGTGAACAGCGAGTACAGGAAGGGGCTGAGCACGCACCCCTGTGGGTCCCTGTGTTGAAGATCAGCGTGGTGGAGGTGTTGTTGCCTACCTTCACCACTTGGGGTCGGCCGTCAGGAAGTCCAGGACCCAGTTGCAGATAGACTCCATACTCAACTAGAGATTGAAAAAAAATTTGTTTCTTTGAAAAGATGTGCCTGGCTGGCATGAAAAATACATTAAGGGGAAAGGATCCACAGACACAGAGGCTGATTTATCTTTCTCTTTATTTAAAATGCTGGCTGCCATGGTTAACACAAATGCAGGACATTGAATGCTACCTGAATTGACTCAGAAAAGTTACATAAGTAGGCCTACAGTATCAAAGCGAGGTCAAACAGGTGTGGGTGTCAGTCAGATTATCCAGTATCCACAGCAACACTGTTGATTAGTCTCTACCCCCAGTGCATGTGGTGTACTGTGATCTTAGCCATGCTCTCACTAACTCTAATATTTTCTCTTTCTCTGTCTCCCCTTCTGGAGGGCCTGAGGCTCTTGGACCGCGACTGAGGACACCCTGGCCTGACACCTGGACGTGCCTGGCCCAATCCCACCTTGCCCCACTGTTGCTGCCTCCACTGGTTCTTTCTTCCCCTCAAGTCACTGTCCCACTCCCCACACACCCAGAAACTTGTATTCCATTACTTTTCATATGACTTTATGAAAAGCCATCTGACCATAGGGTCTTAAAGTATTAGTACTTTCGCTATAGATATTGTCTGAGCCTGCTAGCCATTAATACTGTTATTGCTCTTTCCTTATTGAAATGGTGAATAAAGGGAGACTATGCTTTCATTTTCAATTAAGACACAATTAAGATATTGTTAGATTGAATGTGTGCTTTTAAACTGTCTGTATCTCTGTATTACAGCAAGTAAAATAAAGATACGTGCAAACTGGAAGTGTGACTTCTTTCCCCAATGATTTCCTAAGGCTGAGGTACTTTGTACTATATTCCATACCAAGGCTAGGCGATGCTGAATGGTAACAACACCACACACAACTGCAATGCAACTAATTCATCTCATTGGTACATGACTGTTCAGTCTGTTGAATATTTCATCAATAAAAAAAATGATTTCTTCGCTGAATGAAGGTTTTATTAAACCTTCAAAAAGGGACACATACACAATAAAGAAAGTTTATTAAATAAAGTCATTGACAGGGAAAGTAATTTACTACATCAATTATAGTCACAGCCTCTCCCCTTCATTTGCTTAACTGGAGGAATGGGATGGAGAAATGGTTTACATGAGGCAAGGTGGGGCTCATGGCTACATAGATCCATGACTACATGGAACTCTATTCCACATCAAGTAACTCATGCAAGCAGTAAAATCAGACGATACAAATACACCTTATGGAACAGCGGGGACTGTGAAGAGACACACACATAGGCACAGACACACAGACACACGCATACACACACGATAACATACACACTATACACACACGTATACATGGATTTTGAGTTGTAGATATGTGGTAGTAGAGTAGTGGCCTGAGGGCACACACTTAATGTGTTGTAAAATCTGTTGTGAAATGTGATGTAAGGTTTTTCATTGTTGGCAGCAGCTAATGGGGATCCATAATAAATACAAATACAACAGGAGAATGCATCCCAAAGGAAGGGCACTACTCCCTATGACTGTTCCCTGTATAATGCACTACTTTTGACCAGAGCCCTGGTCAGATGGCTTTTCATAAAGATGACGCCGATAGACATGGTTGCCTTGTTCATGGCTCCTAAGCAACTTTGCAGTATTTGTTTTTGTGTGTGTTATTTCTCACCTTATTAGCGCAGAATGTCTTTTGCATTATTACATACAGCCGGAAATAACTTTTAGATATTAGAGCGACGGAAATACGACTTTTCTGAATTGGATCCTTTGTTCGTACCCCCAAAAGCAATTCTACTTATCCCAGACTACTCCAGGATGCCGCCGGCGGAGAAGAGGTATTCAGAGTGGACTTTTAGTCTGACTCATGAGACGTGCATACCACCCACTGCTTCCGAGTATATTACTCGCTAATCTTCAGTCCCTGGACAATAAAGTAGACAAGCTCAGGGCGAGGATCTCCTTCCAGAGAGACGTCAGGGACTGTAACATACTCTGTTTCACGGAATGATGGCTCTCTCTGGATATACTGTCCCCATCCATACAGCCAGCTGGGTTCTCAGTATATCGCGCAGACAGGAATAAAGAACTCTCTGGGAAAAAGAAAGGTGGTGTATGTTTCATGATTAACTACTCATGGTGTGATTGTGGTAATGTACAGGCACTCAAGTCATTTTGTTCCCCCGACCTAGAATATCTCACAATCAAATGCCACATTACCTCCCGAGATAATTATCTTTGGTCATCGTCACAGTCGTGTGTATATTCCCCCTCAAGCCGATACCAGAACAGCTCTCAAGGAACTACACTGGACTTTGTGCAAACTGGAAACTGCATATCCTGAGGCCGCATTTATTTTAGCTGGGGACTTTAATAAAGCAAATCTGAGGAAAATGCTACCGAAGTTATTAACACATCGCCTGCGCCACTCATGCTTCAAAAACTCTCGACCATTGCTACTCTCCCTTCCAGGACGGCTACAACTCCCTCCCCCGCCCTCCCTTTGGCAAATCAGATCACGCCTCCATCCTGCTTCTCCCTTCTTATAGGCAGAAACTCTAACAAGAAATACCCGTGGTAAGGGTAGTTACCAAGGGTCAGTTACCACGGGTCTGCCCAACGCATCACCGGCGGCACAATGCCTGCCCTCCAGGACATCGTCAGCACCCCATGTCACAGGAAGGCCAAGAAGATCATCAAGGACCTCAACCACCTGAGCCATGGCCTGTTCACCCTGCTACCATCCAGAAGGCGAGCTCAATACAGGTGCATCAAAACAGGGACCGAGAGACTGAAAAACAGCTTCTATCTCAAGGCCATCAGACTGTTAAATAGTCATCACTAAATGCATGCTCTTCAATCGGACGCTGCTTGCACCCGCCCGCCCGACTAGAATCACTACTCTCGGCGGGTCTGACTTAGAATATGTGGACAACTACAAATACCTAGGTGTCTGGTTAGACCGTAAACTCTCCTTCCAGACTCACATTAAGCATCTCCAATCCAAAGTTAAATCTAGAATCGGCTTCCTATTTCGCAACAAAGCCTCCTTCACTCATGCTGCTAAACATGCCCTCGTAAAACGGACTATCCTACCGATCCTTGACTTCGGCGATGTCATTTACAAAATAGCTTCCAACACTCTACTCAGCAAATTGGATGTAGTCTATCACAGTGCCATCCGTTTTGTCACCAAAGCCCCATATACTACCCACCATTGTGACCTGTACGCTCTCGTTGGCTGTCCCTCACTACATATTCGCGCCAAACCCACTGGCTCCAGGTCATCTATAAATCACTTCTAGGCAAATCCCTGCCTTATCTTAGCTCATTGGTCACGATAGCAACACCCACCCGTAGTATGCGTTCCTGCAGGTATATCTCACTGGTCATCCCCAAAGCCAACACCTCCTTTGGCCGCCAGCCCTTCCAGTTCTCTGCTGCAAATGACTGGAACGAACTGCAAAAATCTCTGAAGCTGGAGACACTTATCTCCCTCACTATCTTTAAGCATCAGTTGTCAGAGCAGCTTACCGATCACTGCACCTGTACACAGCCCATCTGTAATTAGCCCACCCAACTACCTCATCCCCATATTGTTATTTACATTGTTATTTATTTTGCTCATTTGCACCCCAGTATCTCTATTTGCACATCATCTTCTGCACATATATCACTCCAGTGTTAATACTAAATTGTAATTATTTTGCACTATGGCCTATTTATTGCCTTACCTCCATAACTTACTACATTTGCACAAACTGTATATAGATTTTCTATTGTCTCATTGACTGTACGTTTTGTTTATTCCATATGTAACTCTGTGTTGTTGTTGTTGTTGTTGTTTTTATCGCCTTGCTTTGCTTTATCTTGGCCAGGTCACAGTTGTAAATGAGAACTTGTTCTCAACTGGCTTACCTGGTTAAATAAAGGATGGGGAAAAAAGGAAAGAAAAAATATCACTAGCCTCCCCCGCCCAGTACCCTGCCCTGAACTTTAGTAGCTGTCACTAGACGGCTACCAACCGCTTACTCTACCATGCACGTTAGAGGCTGCTGCCATATGTACATAGTCATGGAACACTGCAATTCGTTTCCCTGGATGATATGACTGCTACTTCTAAATACTATAAGAGTACATTAATAGATGACATTCACTGCTATAAATCTGTCAAAAATATAATCGCATAATTTACACAGACCCACCGCGGACCTTCGTGTCTATTTTGTCAACGAGCTCAATGTATTGCAAACACTGGTGGTAACCGGATGATCTCAATAATTTAGGTAGCCAGTAAACTGGTATGTTCTATTGCACACTGTCTGGGACTCGTTGTTTTCTTGTTTACTACGGAAATATATTTACGTATTAAGTCAAAGACGAAATTAACTGCAATACACTGGTCTCAAATATAACATGATAACTACGCTACACAGAAGAACAGCAAACCCGTAGAATGAGAGGCTTTTCTCTGTATTAAAACGTGTCCCGGTGCAACATGCCTAGCTCTGCCCACAGGGGCGTGGCTTAAGGAGCGCTCTTTGAAATAAGCGTTTGTATCATCGTATTCCAACAGATCGAGATATCTCACCACACAGGTCACTGAGAACAAGTAGTCACTGCGCCTGCTTAGAGCCAGGTGTTTCGTGCAGGGAAAATGTCGGCAGTGCTGCCACAAGCGCTGGATCGCGCTGAGATAACGAAACTCCCAAAAGCTGTTCAAAATAAACTGGAAAAGCTCCTCTCTGATCTGCAATATGAAATAGATTTCATCAAGGCACACCATGAGCAATTTAGAGTCGATAGTGGTAAGAAATGGCTGAATAGGTCATTGTATGTGTACAGCCTAGCTAACTACGTAGTAGGATAACGTAGTAGGTTATTAACGCGTAGATGGCTTTGACCGGCAGCATCGACAACTGTTTACTATCTAGCTAGTTAGTTTACAAGGCAGAGTAATGTGATGGATTCAAAAATAGCTAGCCAACATTGTTTATCAGCCATGTCTAAATTGTTTTGCTACTGTAACTAGCTAGCTGTACTGGCTGACGTAACGTGGTGAAGGAATGACTTAGTGAGTAGGGTAACGTTAACTCAGGGTCTCCAACCCTGTTCCTGGAGAGCTAACGTTACCGTCCTGTAGGTTTTCACTCCAACCTCAGTTGTAACTGGCCTGATTCAGTTGATCAACCAGCTAATTATTAGAATCACGTGCGCTAGATTGGGATTGGAGCGAAACCCTACAGGACCTGGTAGCTCTCCAGGAATAGGATTGGAGAGCCCTGCGTTAGTTTATTAAGAACTTCTCTACTCCCTGTAGCTAGCCAACTTCATTAAAGTACTTTGATTTATCATTTAGCCTTCAAGACAAGAGCAGCCAAGTTAACATGTGTTGTTGTCACTCTTGCAGAACAACAGTTATTTGAGAAAGTGCAGCGTCTTGAGCAGAGTCAGGAACAGTTTGTGACCCAGACTGAACAGCACCACAAACTCAGAGAGGAGTTCACCAAGATCGGTAAGTGGAATTAGTTACTTGATCCAGCCAAAGGCTCTTTACTGACTGCTGCATACATGTAAACACTGGTGTTACTGACCATGACTAAAGAATGGGGGATGACAATCCACTGTTTAATGAAATGGCTATTTTTTTCTATAGATGAAGAACTCAAGAGTTTACGGGAAAATAATAAAAAGTGTGAAATCAACCAAGAAAAGTTTACATCTGAACAGGTGAGACTCATGATCTTGTCACCTCTTTAACGGTTGGTGTTGACACCTTTTTGAGCTTAACATTGACATAAATGTTATTCTAGGCCCAGTTCTCTAAAGCCAAAGATGAACTGGAGTCAGAGAAGCGGGAGCTTGTGCATACACTGGAGAGGAGATCCCAGGAAGTGGACTATCTGAGTGGTATGGATGAATATATGTGGAGGGATACATACATACACACACTTTATCTAATGTCTATGGGATTTATTTGCTCATCAGAGGACCTGCAGCGCCTCAATGACAAAGTGGCAGAAGTCAATGCCACAAAAATGGGGCTGCAGCTCAAGCTGGACGAGCTCGAGTCCTCAGAGGTCAACATCAAGGTGAGCCTATTTGAATGTTCTGTAACTTATGACCTTTTGAATAGGACCCAGCTCTCAAGGAAGGTTTTGAAATGATCTGATACATCACATGTGTAATCCACACTGTTGTGCCTGGTACCTCCAGTACCGTGAGAAGCGTATGGAGCAGGAGAAGGAGCTGTTGCAGGGCCAGACGGCCTGGCTGAACGGAGAGCTCAAGGCTAAGAGTGAGGAGCTGCTGGCCATGTCACGCCAGAAGGGCAACGAGATCCTGGAGCTCAAGTGCAGCCTTGAGAACAAAGAGGATGAGGTATGACCAAGACTAGCCCAATAATGGACTAAAGGAGCCTAATGTTAGTCCTTATAGGCCAAGGACCTTACATGTTCTGTTAGAGGTGAATTGGCTCTGGAAGCCAAAACAGCCAAATACTCCATCTAAACGTGAATTGATTCTCAATTGCAGTACGGTTCTAGAAACATGAGTCTACTTTCATATCACATAAAAATAATTTCACAAATGCTAAATGTACACTTACTGTGAACTGTTTTAACCGGTTTTACCAAAGTTGCAGCTGACAGTATTTTACATTGACAACATGTTTGTGGTGTCAGTCTTCCGTTTACACACAGGTGTTCGGAGACTGACACCTAATTAGCACTGGTAGTCCAACTCTGTCTCCCGTCAGTTTTCTGTAAACAAGCGCTGTAACGTGGAAATATGGCCGTGTGGGAACCATACCGCTATAAAGGTGTGTCGTAATTTAACCATTAGTTTTTAGAAAATTATTTATCACGGATATGAAAGATACGTTCCTTATGTTTCCAAAACAGTACTGCAAGCGATGCGCGATAACGTTTAGAGCAAGCATCAGGGCTCTTAACTAAACTTCCCCGGCCAGAAGATACTATCGTCAATAGGTGTTAAAGCAAGTTATACCATGGCATTGTTGAATACTCATTTCTGATTGGCTTGAAGGGCGTTCTAGAGCGTACATTATGTCCCTATAAGGCACTTTATATCAGCGCGGTAGAATTCAATGGCTATAGTTAATTCTGATATGTTCTATTGAGCTGTTTTTTTTTAAAGCAAAAGTCGAATTGAAAACATATTGACATTGTTGAATTCGATTTTCATAATAGCAAGCTAGGACTTGATGGTTTAGTTAACTAAACTAGCAATTCTGTTTGTTTGCTTACCAAGGCAACTACTGTAGCTATCTAGTAAACTTGCTAGCTGCTTCAGTGGATGTTGAACACATTTCTACCTGCAAATGAACACATTTCTTGTGCCAAATGTGTTAAATTATAGCCCTGGTATAAAAGGGATAATCCACTCGTGGATCTATGCGTTCTCTGGAAAATAATGCCACTCCGTGGAAGGTCAGTTCTGTTCCGCTAGCGCCTCATGGAACACACCTTCCACAGAGTTCATTATTTTCTAGAGAAAGCATAGCTCCTCGTTGATTATCCCTTACGTAGTTAGTGTCTAAAACAAAAAATCTTTGTATCACAAATAGTTATTACATTTTACATTTTAGTCATTTAGCAGACACTCTTATCCAGAGCGACTTACAGTTAGTGAGTGCATACATTTTTCATACTGGCCCCCCGTGGGAATCGAACCCACAAATCTGGCGTTGCAAGCGCCATGCTCTTCCAACTGAGCTACACAGGACTATGTGAATGTCTCTAAACTATTACCCCATTTACTGTGTCAACATTATGTTTTTGGTTGTTTTTTGTAGATGAACAGAGTCCAGGACCAAGTGAACAGTTTAAAGACTTCAAATGAAAGCCTTCAGAAGCAGACTGAAGACATGATCATCAAACTGAAAGAGGCTAAGGAGCAGCACGCTAGCATGGAGGACAAGTTTAGGAATGAGCTGAATGCCAACATAAAGCTCTCCAACTTGTACAAGGTATGTAGAACAAGTCTTGGATTTGCTTTGGATTCCAATGAATACTCTATAGCTCTCAAAGGCAGTCATCATTGCAGACGTTGCTTCTTTGATCGTTGCATTTTTGTGCTTTTCAAATCAAATGTATTTGTCACATGCGCCGAATACAACAGGTGTATACTGTACTGTGCAATGCTTACTTACGAGCCATTTTTCAACAATGCAGAGTTAAAAAGAAAGAACAATGTGCACACAAAAAAGGAACCGGTAACACGATATAATAACGAGGCTATATACAAGGAGGACCGATACCGAGTCAATGAGCAGAGGTACGAGGCAATTGAGGTAATATGTACATGTAGGTAGTGGTAAAAGTGACTAGGCAATCAGATTTGACCGAGTAGCAGCAGCGTATGTTAAACTTGAAAAAGTGTGGAAGTGTGTCTGTGTGTGGCGTCAATATGCACGTGTATGTGTTGGGAGTGTCGGTGTAGTATGTCTGAGTGTGTGTGGGTAGAGTCCGGTAAATGTGCATAGATCCAGTGAAAGAGTCAGTGAAAAAAAAAAAAAAGGGGGTTCAATGCAAATAGTAGCCATTTGATTAACTGTTCAGCAGTCTAATGCAGCCTTTCCCAAACTCTCTCCTCGGGACCCAAAGGTGTGCACGTTTAGATTTTTGCCCTAACACTACATAAAAAGTATGATTGAAATGATCAAAGCTTGATGATTAGTTAATTATTTGAATCAGCTGTATAGTGCTATGGCAAAAAACTAAACACGCACTCCTTGGGTTCCCGAGGATCGAGGGAAACCCTGGCCTAATGGCTTGGGGGTAGAAGTTGTTCAGGAGCCTTTTGTTCCCAGACTTGGCTCTCCGGTACCGCTTGCCATGCTGTATCAGAGAGAACAATCTATGGCTTGGGTGGCTGGAGTCTTTGATAATTTCTAGGACCTTCCTCTAACACCACCTGGTATAGAGGTCCTGGATGGCAGGGAGCTAGGCCCCAGTGATGTACTGGGCCGTATGCACTACCCTCTGTAGCGCCTTGCAGTCATATGCCAAGCAGTTGCCATACCAAGCGGTGATGCAGCCAGTCAATATGCTCACAATGGTGCAGCTGTATAACTTTTTGAGGATCTGAGGGCCCATGCCAATTCTTTTCATCCTCCTGAGGGGGAAGAGGCATTGTAGAGCCCTCTTCACGACTGTGTTGGTGTGTTTGGACCATGACAGGTCCTTAGCGATGTGGACACTGAGGAACTTGAACGCAACCTCTGAGTGCCACTGCCATAGAGGGAAAAACGGAGCACAGTGACAGTCATCCTTGTGCCTTTACATAACAAAATCACAAGTTTCTAGACCAAAACCCATTCTAACGCGAATTGGCGCACATGTTATATAATTTTTATAAACCATGTCGCGGGATGTTTTAAACTACTCGTGGGCCGCAAGTTTTTGGTTTGATAACAAACTACCTTTTTTAGTCATGTTACCTAGCTAGCTAGCTGACAACATGGTACCCCTTGGCTATGCACACATTTGGATGGCGCAGGAAAAAGATGGATGGCCTACTCAAAGATGCTTCAAAGGTAGGATGCATATGCCTAGCCTCATCAATGTAATTCTAAGCTAAATCTGAATTAAAAAATCCATATTCTTCTGGTGTTCCTTAAATTCTGTTTGCTGCCTCACCTTTGGGAGGTAGATGTGTGTGTGTGGAAGAGAGAAGGAAAGAGTGGTGTGTGTGTGTGAGAGAACGAGGATGTGTGAGGGAGAGTGTGTAAAGTTGTCTGAAGAGTAGTCTAAAGATGGTTTCATATAGGCCTAGTGTGTTTTCCCCTTACTGCCACAATGAAAATGCAGATCATTATAATTTACATTCTTTACTACATTCCTCCTGCCCACAGGTAGGACTTTGGATATGAGCAAATCAGCTATTTTCTGCAGTTGCCTTTTCTATTATATAGTAAGAAGTGCAGTGTTTCCCCTATATTAATTCTAAATAGTTCCCGCCACTCCCAACAATATGATGGTAAAACATTTTTATTGTTATATCATTTTAAAATAAGATCATCTTTGAGAACTAACAATTGGCAAAATAAAAACAAAAATGTCATGGCACGGGGCCCCCATTGATTTTGTTATGAGTTATTCAGATAGCATAAGAACACTGCATAAGCCAAGGCAAAATGTGTAGAATTGCAGGAAATGTGCTTTAAAACCAACATTTCCTTTCCGCCCCATGGCAAAATGTATAGAATTGCAGGAAATTTGCTTTAAAACAGCAAAATGTTGTCTCTGCGGCCAAGAGGATGAGACTGTGCCATTGGCCACAGTCACTATCCTTCGGTATCATGATACTTGGCCTGGTATCACATCGTTAGTAAAATGTTGGTATTGTGACAACCTCAATCCGAAAATATGCAATTTTTTGTGCAGTTTACATAGACCACAACAAGTGTAGACCTTACTGTGAAACGCTTACTTACAAGCCCTTAACCAACAATGCAGTTTTAAGAAAAATAAGTGTTATGTAAAATAATTAAAGAGCAGCAGTAAAATAACAGTAGCGAGGCTATATACAGGGGGTAGCGGTAGAGAGTCAATGTGTGGGGGCACAGGTTAGTCGAGGTAATTGAGGTAATATGTACATGTGGGTAGAGGTAAAGTGACTATGCATAAATAATAAACAGAGCGTAGCAGCAGCCTAAAAAGAGGGGGGGGGGACAAAATGCAAATAGTCCGGGTAGCCATTTGATTAGCTGTTCAGGAGTCATAGAGGTCCTGGATGGCAGGAAGCTTGGCCCAAGTGATGTACTGGGCCATACGCACTACCCTCTGTAGTGCCTTGCGGCCGGAGGCCGAGCAGTTGCCATACCAGGCGGTGATGCAACCAGTCAGGATGCTCTCTGGTGCAGCTGTATAACTTTTTGAGCATCGTGAGGACCCATGCCAAATATTTTCAGTCTCCTGAGGGGGAATAGGCTTTGTCGTGCCCGCTTCACGACTGTCTTGGTGTGTTTGGACCATGATAGTTTGTTGGTAATGTGGACACCAAGGAACTTGAAGCTCTCAACCTACTCCACTACAGCCCCGTCGATGAGAATGGGGGCGTGCTCGGTCCTCCTTTTCCTGTAGTCCAGTCAGATTAATCCCGTAACATTTTCCAGTCTGTGATAGCAAAACAGTACTGTAGCTTAGCATCCGCTTCATCGGATCACTTCCGTATTGAGTGCGTATTTGAGTTTTTGCTTGTAAGCAGGAATCTGGAGGATGTAGTTATGGTCAGATTTGCCAAATGGAGGGAGAGCTTTGTATGCGTGTCTGTGGGGGAGTAAAGGTGATCTAGAGTTTTTTTTTTTGTGTGCCTCTAGTTCCACAGGTGACATGCTGGTAGAAATGAGGTAAGACGGTTTTCAGTTTTCCTGCAATAAAATCACCGCCCACTAATCAAATCAAATTTTATTGGCCACATGCGCCGAATACAACAGGTGCAGACATTACAGTGAAATGCTTACTTACAGCCCTTAACCAACAGTGCATTTATTTTAAACAAAAAAGTAAAAATAAAACAACAAAAAAAGTGTTGAGAAAAAAAGAGCAGAAGTAAAATAAAATAACAGTAGGGAGGCTATATATACAGGGGGGTACCGGTGCAGAGTCAATGTGCGGGGGCACCGGCTAGTTGAGGTAGTTGAAGTAATATGTACATGTGGGTAGAGTTAAAGTGACTATGCATAAATAATTCACAGAGTAGCAGCAGCGTAAAAGGATGGGGTGGGGGGGCAGTGCAAATAGTCCGGGTAGCCATGATTAGCTGTTCAGGAGTCTTATGGCTTGGGGGTAGAAGCTGTTGAGAAGTCTTTTGGACCTAGACTTGGCACTCCGGTACCGCTTGCCGTGCGGTAGCAGAGAGAACAGTCTATGACTAGGGTGGCTGGAGTCTTTGACAATTTTGAGGGCCTTCCTCTGACACCGCCTGGTATTGAGGTCCTGGATGGCAGGAAGCTTGGCCCCAGTGATGTACTGGGCCGTACGCACTACCCTCTGTAGTGCCTTGCGGTCGGAGGCCAAGCAGTTGCCATACCAGGCGGTGATTCAACCAGTCAGGATGCTCTCGATGGTGCAGCTGTATAATTTTTTGAGGATCTGAGGACCCATGCCAAATCTTTTCAGTCTCCTGAAGGGGAATAGGCTTTGTCGTGCCCTCTTCACGACTGTCTTGGTGTGTTTGGACCATGATAGTTCGTTGGTGATGTGGACACCAAGGAACTTGAAGCTCTCAACCTGTTCCACTACAGCCCCGTCGATGTGAATGGGGGCGTGCTCAGTCCTCTTTTTTTTTTTCCTGTAGTCCACAATCATCTCCTTTGTCTTGGTCACGTTGAGGGAGAGGTTGTTATCCTGGCACCACACGGCCAGGTCTCTGACCACCTCTCTATAGGCTGTCTCATCGTTGTCGGTGATCAGGCCTACCACTGTTGTGTCGTCGGCAAACTTAATGATGGTGTTGGAGTTGTGCCTGGCCATGCAGTCATGGGTGAACAGGGAGTACAGGAGGGGACTGAGAACGCATTTTGAGGGGCCCCCGTGTTGAGGAGCAGTGTGGCAGATGTGTTGTTACCTACCCTTACCACCTGGGGGCGGCCCGTCAGGAAGTCCAGGATCCAGTTGCAGAGGGAGGTGTTTAGTCCCAGGATCCTTAGCTTAGTGATGAGCTTTGAGGGCACTATGGTGTTGAATGATGAGCTGTAGTCAATGAATAGCATTCTCACGTAGGTGTTCCTCTTGTCCAGGTGGGAAAGGGCAGTGTGGAGTGCAATAGAGATTGCATCATCTGTTGGGGGGGTATGCAAATTGGAGTGGGTCTAGGGTTTCTGGGATAATGCTGTTGATGTGAGCCATGACCAGCCTTTCAAAGCACTTCATGGCTACAGACGTCAGTGCTACGGGTCGGTAGTCATTTAGGCAGGTTATCTTAGTGCCCTTGGGCATGGGGACTATGGTGGTCTGCTTGAAACATGTTGGTATTACAGACTCAGTCAGGGACATGTTGAAAATGTCAGTGAAGACACTTTGCTCGGAGTACACGTCCTGGTAATCTGTCTGGCCCTGCTGCCTTGTGAATGTTGACCTGCTTAAAAGTCTTACTCACATCGGCTACGGAGAGCGTGATCACATAGTCATCCGGAACAGCTGGTGCTCTCATGCATGCTTCAGTGTTGCTTGCCTCGAAGCGAGCATAGAAGTGGTTTAGCTCGTCTGGAAGTCTTGTGTCACTGGGCAGCTCGCGGCTGTGCTTCTTTTTTGTAGTCTGTAATAGTTTTCAAGCCCTGTCTTCACTAGGAGCACTGCCTCTGGGTGAGCATTTTCTTGTTTGCTTATGGCCCTATACAGCTGGTAGAGTGCGGTCTTCATGCCAGCATCGGTTTGTGGTGGTAAATAGACGGCTACTAAAAATATACACTGAACAAAAATATAAACGCAACAACGATTTCAATGATTTTACAGAGTTACAGTTCATATAAGGAAATCAGTCAATTCAAATAAATGTATTAGGCCCTAATCTATGGATTTCACATGACTGGGAATACAGATACCTTAAAAAAAGGGTAGGGGCGTGGATCAGAACCAGTCAGTATCTGGTGTGACCACCATTTGCCTCACGCAGCGCGACACATCTCCTTCGCATAGAGTTGATCAGGCTGTTGATTGTGGCTTGTGGAATGTTGTCCCACTCCTCTTCAATGGTTGTGCGAAGTTGCTGGAAACTGGAACACGCAGTCGTACACGTCGATCCAGAGCATCCCAAACATACTCAATGGGTGACATGTCGCTGGATATTTCCATTTTAGTCATTTAGCAGACGCTCTTATCCAGAGCGACTTACAGTTAGTGCATTCATCTTTAAGATAGCTAGGTGGGACAACCACATATCACAGGCATAGAAAGTACATATTTCCTCAACGTAGCTATCAGTACAGAGCTAGAAGGTGGTGGTGGTGGGGGGGTCAAATGCAAGTGCTGGTTAAGTGTTTTTTGGGGGGGGTCAAGGTGAGGTGGAGGATTATTTAAGATACTGTTTGAAGGTAGGGTTTCAGATGTTTTCGGAAGATGGGCAGAGACTCTGCTGTCCTAGCTTCAGGTGGAAACTGGTTCCACCATTGAGGTGCCAGGACAGACAAGAGCTTGGACTGGGCTGAGTGGGAGCTTCCCTCCCGTAGGGAGAACGGAGTGCTCGGGTTGGGGTGTAGGGTTTGTGCATAGCCTGAAGGTAGGGAGGGGCAGTTCCTCTTGCTGTTCTGTATGTAACCACCATGGTCTGGTAGTGGATGCGAGCTTCAATTGGATGCCATTGGAGTGTGCAGAGGAGCGGGGTGACATGAGAGAACTTGGGAAGGTTGAAAACCAGGCGGGCTGCTGCGTTCTGGATACATTGCAGGGGTTTGATGGCACAAGCGGAGCCCAGCCAACAGCGAGTAGCAGTAGTCCAGACAGGAGAGGACAAGTGCCTGGATTAGGACCTGCGCCGCTTCCTGTGTGAGGAACCTGCAGGAGCAGGTCACTGCTTTGATGTTTGCAGAGAACGACAGGGTGTTGTCCAGGGTCACGCCAAGATTCTTTGCACTCTGGGAGGGTGACACTGGAGTTGTCAACTGTGAAAAAGGTATTTGAGCGGGCAGGCCTTCCCCGGGAGGAAGAGCAGTTCCGTCTTGTTGAGCTTGAGGTGGTGGGACGACATGCAAGTTGAGATATCTGCCAGGCACGCAGAGATGCGTGTCGCCACCTGGGTGTTAGAAGGAGGAAAGTAGTTGAGTGTCATCCGCATAGCGATGATAGGAGAGACCATGTGAGGATATGACGGAGCCGAGTGACTTGGTGTATAGAGAGAAGAGGAGAGGGCCTAAAACCGAGCCCAGGGGGACAACATTAGTGAGAGTTCGTAGTGCAGACGATAGGAGCGGCCTGCCAGGTAGGATGCAATCCAAGAGTGTGCATATCCTGAGACGCCCAGCCCTAAAAGGAGCTGATGGTTCAGTGTCCAAGGCAGCGGATAGATCTAGGAGGAGGAGAGAGAGTCAGCTGTGGCAGTGCGGAGAGCCTCCGTGTCACAAAGGAGCAGTGACCCATCTTCAAGCCTGACTGGTTAGTGTCAAGAAGATTGTTCTGAGAGAGATGATGAGAAAGTTGATCAGCGACCGCACGCTCAAGTGTTTTGGAAAGAAAAGAAAGGTGGGATACAGGTCTATAGTTTTTGACGTCAGATGAGTCGAGTATGAGTGGCACAGTGGTCTAAGGCACTGCAACGCAGTGCTAGCTGTGCCACTAGAGATCCTGGTTCGAATCCAGGCTCTGTCGTAGCCGGCCGCGACCGGGAGACCCATGGGGCGGCGCACAATTGGCCCAGTGTCGTCCAGGGTATGGGGAGGGAATGGCCGGCAGGGATGTAGCTCAGTTGGTAGAGCATGGCGTTTGCAACGCCAGGGTTGTGGGTTCAATTCCCACAGGGGGCCAGTGTGAAAAATAAAAAAATTATGTATGCACTCACTAACTGTAAGTCGCTCTGGATAAGAGCGTCTGCTAAATGACTAAAATGTAAATGTATTGGTTTCTTGAGGAGGGGAGCAACTCGGGCCATTTTGAAGTCAGGGGACGCAGCCAGTGGTATTGGCGGGAACTGGAACATGCTGTCCTACACGTCGATCCAAAGCATCCCAAACATGTTCAATGGGTGACGTCTGGTGAGTATGCAGGCCATGGAAGAGCTGGGATATTTTCAGCTTCCAGGAATTGTGTACAGATCCTTGCGACATGGGGCCGTGCATTATCATGCTGAAACATGAGGTGATGGCGGCGGCGGAATGGCACGACAATGGGCATCAGGATCTCATCACGGTATCTCTGTGCGTTCAAATTACCATTGATAAAATGCAATTGTGTTCGTTGTCCGTAGCTTATGCCTGCCCATACCATAACCCCACCGACACCATTGGGCACTCTGTTCACAACATTGACATCAGCAAACCACTTGCCTACATGACGTCATATACGCTGTCTGCCATCTGCTCGGTACAGTTGAAACCGGGATTCATCCATGAAGAGCACACTTCTCCAGCGTGCCAGTGGCCATCGAAGGTAAGCATATGCCCACTGACGTTGGTTACGATGTCGAACTGCAGTCAGGTCAAGACCCTGGTGATGACGACGAGCACACAGATGAGCTTCCCTGAGACGGTTTCTGACAGTTTGTACCAGAAATGCTATGGTTGTGCAAACCCACAGTTTCATCAGCTGTCCGTGTGGCTGGTCTCAGACGATCCCTCAGGTGAAGAAGCCGGATGTGGAGGTCCTCGGTTGGCGTGGATTACATGTGGTCTGCGGTTGTGAGGTCGGTTGGACGTACTGCGAAATTCTCTATATACACTACCGGTCAAAAGTTTTGGAACACCTACTCATTCAAGGGTTTTTCTTTATTTTTACTATTTTCTATATTGTAGAATAATAGTGAAGACATCAAAACGAATTAAATAACACATATGGAATCATGTAGTAACCAAAAAAGTGTTAAACAAATCAAAATATATTTTATATTTGAGATTCTTCAAATAGCCACCCTTTGCTTTGATGACCGCTTTGCACACTCTTTTCAGTCATAGGAAACAATGGCAGAAACATTATGTAGAAAAAAAGTTAAGATCAGCGCAAAAAACACTAAATGGCACAATTGTTCAGGAGCCTGTAAAATGGCTGCTATTCCCTCCAGCGCCATTCTACAGTTTTTATTTGAATATTTTTGTAAACTTTTTTTTTTTTTGGTGTGGGTAGGCTTTTGATGAACATTTTAGTTAACAGGTGCATGTTACATTTTCCTGGTGGACGATGTGAAGCATTAATAAGTGCATTAATTGTTCCTGGCCCAACACTGGCCAACAACCCTTTACCTTGTATTCCCAGGGAGCTGCTGCAGACTCTGAGTCCAAGAGTGAGGAGTTGAGTGGGGCTGTAGAGGAGCTGCACAAGCTGCTGAAGGATGCTGGAGAAGGTAAGAGAGGGAGACCAGAAAGACAGTCACACGCATCTATTGTCTCAATGCAAAACTGTCTAACACGGGCACTTTATCTTGTCAAAAGTATGCTATAACTTTATTTGTGTTATTAGTCTGAATTCTCTTCTCCTTTCCTCTCTACAGCGAACAAGGCCCTGGAGGTGAAACTGCAGGAGATGGATGCCTGTCGGGACAAGGAGGCTGCTGAGCTGAAGTTGAGTATCTCCAGTCTGGAGAAAGAACTGGACAACGCTAATGAACTGCTGTCCGACACCAAGCTCAGAGGTCAGACCTAAGACACAATCGCCTGGCTGTTTTTTTTTACTGAACAGTTGACTGGACTGTAAAATTGCTTTAATAGGGACGGTGTCTCCGAGTAAGCATCATTACCAGCAGATTTGACGAACTGGCCACTGACTGATTTGTATTAGGATGATGGGGTTTCTTTGATCATGCTCTGGAGACTTCCATTTGAAATGGAGGATGAACTTTGACCTGTTTGTATGGTTGTCTATTTCCATGGCCTGCAGGTGCAGCCTCAGTGCTGTCAGAGGGAACGATTACCACCATGTCCCCGACTGCAGCCGCCGTGGCCAAGATTGTCAAACCTGGCATGAAGCTGACTGAGGTAAACACTAGAGAACGACCAGTGTGGATTATTTTAGTTTTTTTGGGTGTCAAGGAGGCCGATGGCCAGTATTTTAGGCCCATATTCAATATTTTTGTATATAGTCCCCCCATTTTAGGGGACCAAAAGTATTGGGGAAAATATGTGTATTTGGTAGTAAAAAGTTTAGTATTTGGTCCCATATTTGTAGCACGCAATGACTACATCAAATTTGTGACTATACATATTTGTTGAATGCATTTGCTGTTTGTTTTGGTTGTGTTTCAGATTATTTTGTGACCAATATAAATCAATGGTAAATAATGTATTGTGTCAACAAATCTGTAGAATCACAAGCTTGATATAGTCATTGCGTGCTATGAATATGGGACCAAATACTAAACTTTTTACTACTTTAATACGCATACAAGTGAATTTGTCCCAATGCGTTTGGTCCCCAAAAATGGGAGGACTATGTACAAAAAGTGCTGTAATTTCTAAACCGTTCACCCTATATGGATGAAAATGCCCTCAAATTAAATCTGGCAGGCTGACCTCGTAGTTATTGTATCATTTCAAATCCAAAGTGCTAGAGTACAGAGCCAAAACAACAAAAATGTGTCACTGTCCCAAAAAACGTTCATAGCTCACTGTATATTAGCCTACTGATCATGTTATCAGTAGAAGCATCACTCCAGAATGTCACGCCTGTATGGAAGGACCTCATATAGGCATTGCTGTTTGAGACTATAAAATAACATCTATTCAATGCAAATAATTCCAATGTAACTTCATGATTTGTGATCACAGATGCTTATGAAACTTGATTGGGAAAAAGGTTCTATTTTTTTTTGCTTTCAGGACGCATCTCTAAACAACTCAGCTGCCAGGACGAAATTCGAAACAACTCAATTGGCTAGTTCAGCTATCTGTCAAGAAATGGGCGTGTTGTAACTTGATCCTACTGCTACAGTTGGATAGAGCGAGGCTGTAACTCCGCTCCCTCTCACATCTCTCTCCATTAGTGATGGGTAGGGTTGGGCAGTATTAGGGCTGTTCCGGTGACCGTATTACCGCCACACCGGCAGTCATGACCGCAGTCAAATTCCACGTGACCGTTTAGTCACCATAACTAGGCTTCTCCAAAACTGCGCTTTGATGCTGCTGATGGTCATTAGTAGCCGACCAAACTTGCTAACTGCCTGGTACTCAGCACTCTATTGTCCCTCTAATGACTCTGACATCAATGCAAAAAATATAAATTTTCCCCTGCTCCTGTTCTGAGACAGGTGCATGATAATGGTCCATTCAAAATCCAAACAAATTTCACACATATATTATTTAGTATATTTAAAGACAAGATTAAATCAAGAATAGTCTGATGGGTGACAATATTATCACTTGTGAATGATGCCCAGCTTATGCAGTAAGGCCAGAAACAGCACATGCCTTTTTTTTGCTACTTTTTCAAATCATAGTCGGACACATCATGTAGCCTAGCCCATAGGCCTATATGTTTTGATAAGGTTTGTATCACAACTAAAGTGACCAAGTAACTTCTTAAAATGAAGCACATTCATCCGCTTTACAACCGGTGTAGAGCGTAACTGGCATAGGCGGCACACGAGTTTCAAGTTTGGGAAGATAATATTCACCATAAAAATGCACCTTTATAATAAAGCATTACATGCATAATCGCATTTGCGGGCACTTTTGAGAACGTGTTTTCCCGCTAATTGATAGCATTTTGGAACATTCCCACTTATAGCCAGCCTACTGCAGTGTGCACATTGCTGCGCTTATAATGTGAAGAAATATCCTAATAGTTGATCAACATTTTATGCCCGAAAAATTGTCAACAGCTCCAGTCACCCAAGTCATAGACTGTGCTCTCTGCAACTGCCAGAGATGGTTGACTTCGCTCAGCAAATGGTTATATTAAAAAAACATGACGCTCATAGTATACAGTATGAGTTTGAGGTCCATCTTTCTTCTCTCCAGTTGTATACGGCCTATGTGGAGAGCCAGGAGGCGCTGCAGCTGCAGCGTGTGGAGAACAAGCGGGTGAATAAGTACCTGGATGACATAGTGCAGGAGGTGGAGGACAAGGCTCCCATCCTCAAACGCCAGAGGGACGAACATGAGCGCATGCAGAAATCTGTAGCCAGCCTGTCGGCCAAGCTGGAACAGGCGGTTAAGGTGTGTGTTTTGAGTTTGTGAATTTGTTATACTGTACCAAAAAACCTGTACCTGTAAGTAAAACATCTGATGATATGTGAGGATAATTAGAAACAAATCAGTCAACTCCTGATTAATGCAAGGTTTTGAACTGCACTAAAACTGCACTAAATCAGATCATGCAGATTGTCCAGCGTAAGTGATAATAATGTATTTGAATTGTTATTGGTGAACTGTACTGCGATGTATTTGACTTGGTATTGGTGCATTTGCAGATGCCGTGCACTTATGAGAGTCCACTAAATAGGTTCTGACACACTATAACTGGTTACTATGTGTTTCAGGAGGTGCACCGTCTGCAGAAGGTGACTGACGAGGCCAACAAGCGCTCTTCTCTCCTGGAGAGAGACAACCAGAGGTCTGAGGTGCAGCTGGCAGACATGGCGCAGCAGGTGGGACTCCAAACAGAACGTCCTGTCTTATCTCTTTTAGTAAAGCCTTACTGCTTGTCCTAACATCCCCTCTAAAACCTAATTGTTGTCATAGAATTATGTGTGAAAAATCTATACAAATGTTGATCATAAAAAAGTGAAGGTTTTAGATATGACTGTTTAATTAGGACATAATCAATAGCTTTTGCACCCCCTACCCTAACCCACCAGATCTGTGTCCTACTCATTGAGCTGGAGGAGGCGCGTGGCAACCACGTTGCCCCCAACGAGGAGGTGAGCTCTGCTGACATCAGCAGCACGTCGGAGGTCATCACACAGCACCTGGTGACGTTCCGTGGCGTGGAGGAGCTCCAGCAGCAGAACCAGCGCCTCCTGGTGGCCCTCCGAGAGCTCAGCGACGCACAGGAGAGAGATGAGACCGAGACCACAGGCACCAAGTGCGATATACTTAATTGTCCATGTTCTTTGCTGATTATTTGTTTTGCTTTCAACCCAACACCCCCCCAAAATAAGTGTCTGATTGTCCATGTCTCCATCCAGAAACAACCCTTAGTCCCGACCATCCAAAAGCTTTTGTAGATCTGACGTTGTTGGATGAGTGTAAGCAATATGGTGGTAGCTCCTGCTCCACCTTTCCCTTTGGTTTCCCTGTGTCAGCAAAACATTTCTGTTGTCTGTGGATAAATAAAGGTCATTGTATTCTCCCTCCAGGCGCGGTGAGCTGGAGCGGAGTCTGGAGAAGGCCCAGGCAGAGCTGGAGGCTCTGAGGGAGCAGCGGAGCCACCAGATGCAGCTGGCTGAGTCTATTGTCAGGCAGAGAGACATGTACCGTGTGCTGCTGGCCCAGGCCACCGGAGTCAGCTTCCCTCAGCAAGGTGGGGTTCACATACATTTACTTCTTCAGGGCCTGATGAGGCTAGTGTAGCAAAACCTTTGTAAATGTGGGTGCAGGAATAAAGCACGGGAGCATATACCGTGTGTAGGATTTGGTTCTTTATTATTAGTCCGTTTTGGCCCGCCCCGGTGGAGAACTTTGGCTTGTGTATATTACCCACACACTGACCCTTTGACCTCTTGTCTCAGGTGCAGCACCCGAGGAATTCTCCCTGACTTCCACCCCCCGCTGCTCTCCAGCTGCCACCCCCACCACAGCCACGCCCACTGGAATCATTACTATGGCAACAGAGTCAACCGAGGCGGTGGAGGCCAAGGCAGCCCTCCGGCAGGTGAGCCCACACAATCCCTCCCCTTTTTGCCCTGAGAACAGCCTCAATTTGTCGGGGCATGGACTCTACAAGGTGTTGAAAGCGTTCCACAGGTATGCTGGCCCTTGTTGATTCCAATGCTTCCCATAGTTGTGTCAAGTTGGCTGGATAACACGGGGAGCTGATCAGGGTGAAAAACCCAGCAGCGTTGCAGTTCTTGACACAAACCGGTGCACCTGGCACCTACTACCATACCCCGTTCAAAGGCCATGACATAGAATGACCAGAATCCAGGTGAAAGCTATGATCCCTTATTGATATCAGTTGTTAAATCCACTTCAATCAGTGTAGATGAACTGGAGGAGACAGGTTAAAGAAGGATTTTTAAGTCTTGAGACAATTGAGACATGTATTGTGTAGGTGTGCCATTCAGAGTGTGAATGGGTGCACCGGTTTGTGTCAAGAACTGCAACGCTACTGAGTTTTTCACCCTCAACAGTTTTCCGTGTGTATCAAGAATGGTCCACCACCCAAAGGACATCCAGCCAACTTGACACAACTGTGGGAAGCATTGGAGTCAACATGGGCCAGCATCCCTGTGGAACGCTTTCGACACATTGTTGAGTCTATGCCCTGACTAACTGAGGCTGTTGAGTGCAAATGGGGGCGCAACTGAATATTAGGATGGTGTTCCTAATGTTTTGTTCACTCTGTGTATTTGCAACTATCTGTCCTTCTGTCGCACCAAACCACCATTTTTATGATGGCTCACAAATAATATCCTTCAGTCAGGTTTATACAAAATTGTTGCAGTACTCGTATCTAAAGGAAAGTCTTGTTTTGTGTGTGTAGTTGCAGGAGGTGTTCTCCTCCTATAAGAGGGAGAGGTCTGAGAGTGACAAGGCCCTGGCGGAACAGACTGAGAAGCTACAGGAGCAGGTGTCTGACCAGAGATCACAGAATGCCAAGATATCCACCCAACTGGAGTTTGCTTCCAAGAGGTAAGAGCATTGCACATCGCTCTCAGGACACTACTCAAGACAATGTCACATGATGTGGTAGGTTGTCTTTTTCTTTGAACTTGGGAGCATGAAGATATTCCAGAATATTTTAGCCAAGTTTGCTTGATAACTAACTGAACCTGCTTGGTGACGTACCCCCCCCCCCCCCCCCCCCCCCCCCAGGTATGAGATGCTGCAGGATAATGTGGAGGGCTACAGGAAGGATATTGCCTCTTTGAAGGAGAAGGGACAGAAGATGTCTGCTGCAGCCCAGAAGAATGAGCAGACTGTTCACACCATGACCGAGGACCTGAGAGTTGCACAGGAGAAACTCAACATGGCAGAGGTGTGTGTGTACCTGATGTTTTGTGTGTCCCAAGCCTTTTGTTCATTGTGTTAGACAAACAGACAATACTTAGTCTCTCTCTCTCATAATCTGTGTTAGTGTTTTGTTCCATCTTTCTATACATGCATTACATCTAGTTTCTAAGCCACAGTGAGTTGAGCTGAGACTGTTCTCCCCCAGGGTCGTGCTGAGAGCCTCAGGAAGGAGAGGGATATGCTGAAGCTAGTGGAGTCCAGACTGACCCAGGAGAAAGAGACCATCCAGACCCAACAACGAGGACAGAACATGCTGCTCACCAACCTCAAGACCATACAGGTTTACACACACACACACTCCATGTGCTTGCCTATACACATAAACACCAATGTCAAGACAATAGAAACATCTCAAACTAACCACTCATAAAATTGTTGAGGCACTGTTCTCTCTGCATTCATGTCATGTCTGTTCATGTAACGTTCCACTCCCTGCGTGCTCATCCAGGCCACATTGGAGCGCTCAGAGACAGACACCAGCCAGCACCTGAACGCCCAGATAGAGAAGCAGGAAAGAGAGATCAGCCAGCTGCAGAAGAGACTGGAGCACGAGGTGGAGCAACGCCATCTGCTGGGCAGAAACCAAGATGTATGTCCCTGATACCCCTCATCCCAGTGCCAACCACAACCCCCTCTACCTGGATTCTATCGATTGTCCTCTTCCATCTTTCCACTTTCTCTAATATAACATTTATTCATTTTTCCCCAAGAGACTTGCTTCAAAAAGGCAGCAGTCAAGCATTTGTTACATACAAACCAGTGGAGGCTGGTGGGAGGAGCTATAGGAGGACAGGTGCATTGTAATGGCTGGAATGGAATAAATGCAACGGTATCAAACACATGGAAACCACGTTTGATTCCATTGCTTTTATTCCATTCCGGCCATTACAATGAGCCCGTCCTCCTATAGCTCCTCCCACCAGCCTCCAGTGATACGCACCATAGATAAAATCAACCCCTTCCTCTCTTCTCTTTTTCCAGTTGCAGCTGATGGATACCAAGAGGCAGCTGGAGACTCAGACGGGCCTGCTCCAGAAGACCAGGGATCAGCTGTGTGCTGCCCAGCTGGAGGTGAACTCTCTCAGGCTGCAGCAGGGCAGTGAAGAAGGCTGTCGTCCGTCCCTGGGCTCCCGAAGCTCCCCGTCCATTCCCATGGGCCTCGAAAGTAAGAGTACGCACAATGTTACAGAATCACATCAACCTCAGTGCCTTCTGAGACATCAGAGAATGTTCTGGAACCACTCATAAAAGTTTTTATAGCATGAGAATGTTGGAATGGCTTGAATGTGGATAGTACTCAGTTGGTGTTTTCTTCAAGACAGGCACTTACGCAATTGCTATTTTAAAAATGTTTAAATCCCAATTTGTTGTCCTGTCTTCAAATAGTCTCTGATTTATATTTTTCAAACAGCTAAGTCTGTCTACAATTAATTGATGTAGGCCAGTCCAACATACTCTTACTCTCTTGTTTCCTTAAAGCTGTGGGATGTTATCCTGCTTTTCCTTGTGTAGACATAGGTCAGGTCGGTGTCTACAGCCATGCTTTCATTAGGTCGTCTTATGGTATTTTATAGGAAATGTAGTAAAACAAGCTAAATAAAACCCTCAAACAGTCCTGGAGGGTGTGTGCTTCTGGGGCCTGCACCATTAGCAGTGTTATGGCAGTGTCATTATGGTTCTTTTTTTATGCTGCCCGTGCCAGCTGTGACTTCAGTCTGTGGCACTTACACCTCTCTCTTTCCCTCTCTCTCCTTACCTCTCTCCCTCTCTCTCTCTCTCCTTACCTCTCTCTCCTTACCCCTCTCTCTCTCTCCTTACCTCTCTCCCTCTCTCTCTCTCTCCTTACCCCTCTCTCTCTCTCCTTACCTCTCTCCCTCTCTCTCTCTCTCCTTACCTCTCTCTCCTTACCCCTCTCTCTCTCTCCTTACCTCTCTCCCTCTCTCTCTCTCTCTCCTTACCTCTCTCTCCTTACCCCTCTCTCTCTCTCCTTACCCCTCTCTCTCTCTCTCTCTCTCTCTCTCTCTCTCTCTCTCTCCTTACCTCTCCTTAACGCTCTCTCTCCTTACCTCTCTCTCTCTGCTCCTCGCCCCTCTTTTCATCTTCACCCCTCTACTCTCACCTCCCCAGGCCTCCAGGATTCAAAAGGGGTCTCTGAGGATCTGCGTGGCTGCCTGAGGCAGGCCGAGACGCGGGCAGAGGAGCTGGCAGAGCAGCTGAGGACAGCCACCTCCAGCATGGAGCAGTACAGAGCCATGGCCCAGAGCCTAGAGGAGTCCATGGATAAGGAGAAGCAGGTCAGGACTCGGCCCTGGCCCCTTAACCCACTAGTAGAGTACCACCCCTTAGTAGAATACCACCTTGGCCCCTTACTAGTGTACCACCCTGGCCCCTAACCCCTTAGTAGTGCGCTTCCATAAGCATTTTAGCCCCAAATCTCTCTCACTCGCTTCCTCTCCTCGTTCGTCTCTCTAGGTGATGGAGCAGGCTCGGTCCTCCATGGAGGAACGTGTAAAGGAGGCTCAGGAGCAGCACCGTCAGCTGGATAGGAAGCTCGTGGAGGCAGAGCAGGAGAAGCAGGGCCTGCAGGAGGAGAAGAGGAAAGCCCTGGCCTCCGTGGAGCAGCAGGTATGAAGCAGAGGAACGTCGCTAAACATCTATGCCCTTAGTGAAAATCTCCACACTGTATAGTCTCTGGCACCCCAATGGTGGAACAAGCTCCCTCACGACGCCAGGACAGCGGAGTCACTCACCACCTTCCGGAGACATTTGAAACCCCACCTCTTTAAGGAATACCTGGGATAGGATAAAGTAATCCTTCTACCAACCCCCCCCCCCCCCCCCCCCCAAAAAAAAAAAAATTTGTAAAGTGGTTAGCCCACTAGCTATAAGGTGTATGCACCTATTTGTTAGTCGCTAAATGTATGCACCTATTTGAGCGTCTGCTAAATGACGTAAATGTATAGCTCGAATGGTATAGCTGATACATTCAGTATTATTTAACCACATCCAGTACGCACCATAGGTGCTGGGTTCACACAGTGCCGGGATCCTCATTGTTCCATGTTGAAGAAATTAACACATCACTACTCAATTCCTGTTTTCCTTATCCCTGTGTGTGTCAGGTGGCTGAGCTGAGGAGGAGTCTGAGCAGTGTGCAGGCGGACCACCAGGAGGCGCTACAGAGGGCAGCAGTGGCAGCAGGCCAGGAACAGCAGGCCATACTGGACAGCCAGGAGCAGGTGAGAGGGAGGCTTGGGCCGTGGCTAATTGGCCCTTATCTTGTTGTAGTGATGTGCCAACTTTTCACAAGGCATATCTGACCAAGCTATTTGCCACCTTGTTGCCCACTTTCCTGCTATAGAACATTACCTAGCTTGATTGTCGCTAACCCAAGTAAATGTCAACCATGATAATGTAGCATACATTATCAACCATTCATTAAGTACTGTATTCCAGCTAGGTCGTCAGATAAAGCTTGTCTGTAATGCTGGTCTCCTCTTCTCCCCCCTCCCAGGCCAAGCTGGTGTCGGAGGCGCAGGATAAGTACGAGCGCGAGATGATGCTCCACGCTGCAGATGTGGAGGCCCTCCAGGCAGCGACGGCCCAGGTCCTGCAGGCAGCCACGCTCAGACAGCAGCTGGAGGAGAGGGCCCAGAGAGCCTCTGCTCAGCTGCTGGAGGCCAGAGTCTCCTGGGAGGAACAGGAGAATATCCTCAAGGTAGGTAATAGCAGTCAATTTATTGATTTGATAGTGGTCAAGGGAAATGTTTATATTATGAATAGTAGATATGGTGATTGTTGCAAATGGTTTGATGTGTAGATGGTGATGGTTCGAAAATTTATTTTTACACTTTTGCTTTGATGTTGGAAGCTAGCTAGTGATTGTGAACTGCCACTCACGTTTGCAGGGGTTGTGCTGCTTACATACACTACCATTCAAAAGTTTGGGGTCACTTATACATTTCCAAGCAATTTTTTGTTCATTCAAATAACATCAAATTGATCAGAAATACAGTGTAGACATGTTAATGTTGTAAATATGATGAAGTATGAAAATGTATGCACTCACTTAACTGTAAGTCGCTCTGGATAAGAGCGTCTGCTAAATGACTAAAATGTAAATGGCTATTGTAGCTGGAAACGGCTGATTTAAAAAAAAAAAATTGAATATCTACATAGGCGTACAGAGGCCCATTATCAGCAACCATCTGTCCTGTGTTCCAATGGCGCGTTGTGTTTGCTAATCCAAGTTTATCATTTTAAAAAGCTAATTGATCATTAGAAAACCTTTTTGCAATTATGTTAGCACAGCTGAAAACTGTTGTGTTGATTTAAAGAAGCAATAAAAGACGCCTCACAGGTCCTCAACTGGCAGCTTCATTAAATAGTACCCGCACAACACCAGTCTCAATGTCAACAGTGAAGAGGCGACTCCGGGATGCTGACATTCTAGGCAGAGTTGCAAAGAAAAAGCCATATCTCAGACTGGCCAATAAAAAGAAAAGATTAAGATGGGCAGTCTGAGATATGGCTTTTTCTTTGCAACTCTGCCTAGAATGTCAGCATCCCGGAGTCGCCTCTTCACTGTTGACATTGAGACTGGTGTTGTGCGGGTACTATTTAATGAAGCTGCCAGTTGAGGACCTGTGAGGCGCCTGTTTCTCAAACTAGACACTCTAATGTAGTTGTCCTCTTGCTCAGTTGTGCACCGGGGGCTCCCACTCCTCTTTCTATTCTGGTTAGAGCCAGTTTGCGCTGTTCTGTGAAGGGAGTAGTACACAGCGTTGTACGAGATCTTCAGTTTCTTGGCAATTTCTCGCATATAAAAGTCTTCATTTCTCAGAACAAGAATAGACAGACGAGTTTCAGAAGAAAGTTATTTGTTTCTGGCCATTTTGAGCCTGTAATCGAACCCACAATTGCTGATGCTCCAGATACTCAACTAGTCTCAAGAAGCCAGTTTTATTGCTTCTTTAATCAGCACAACAGTTTTCAGCTGATCAATTAGCCTTTTAAAATGATAAACTTGGATTAGCAAACACAACGTGCCATTGGAACACAGGACTGATTGTTGCTGATAATGGGCCTCTGTACGCCTATGTAGATATTCCATTAAAAATCAGCTGTTTCCAGCTACAATAGCCATTTCCAACATTAACAATGTCTACACTGTATTTCTGATCAATTTGATGTTATTTTAATGGACAAAAAAATTGCTTTTCTTTCGAAAACAAGGACATTTCTAAGTGACCCCAAACTTTTGAACGGTAGTGTAGCTGGTGTACACCACAAGGCTATAATGTACATCTCTCTCTCGCTGTCAGGAGGAGATGTCTAAGGTGGTGTCTCGCTCTGAGGAGCTGCAGAGGCAGAACAGCCTCCTCCATGAACAGATTCAGACCATGAGCAGCAAGATAGCCGCCACCCTGCAGCACCAGGCCAACGAGAGCCCTCTGAACATCTCCCTCACTGAGCAGGGCAGGTCTCAGGACCAGGTCCTCGAGATACTCAGGTAATGGTCTCTCTCCCCCGCTCTTGATCGGTCTGTCTCTTTGCAAAGCAAGAGCAAGTCTGCCATTTAAAGCCAATTTCATGCAATCACTACACTCCTACAACACCTTTTCTCTCATCATATCCTCTGTCCCCTCCCTGTCGTGCTGCAGGTTTGTGCGCCGGGAGAAGGAGGTAGCGGAGTCACGGTTGGAGGTGGCCCAGGGAGAAAGTCGTCGCCACAGGCTGAGAGTGGAGCACCTGGAGAGAGAGCTGAGAGAACTACAGGAGAGCCTTAGTGCTGAGAGAGAAAGGATGCAAGTGAGCTGGACACTATGGACAGCCAATGGTTTATGGGGGGATTTCCTGGACCCAGATTATTCCTAGACTAAAAAGCCCTTTCAATGAAGAGTGGAAAAAACACCGATTTTTGTTGTCCCCCATGATGAAATCTGATCTGTCACCACTGGGCCGATTTTGACTAAACTTGGGTGAATGATGCGTATTGCCATAGATCTGGCATTTACTAAATTTCTAATTGGTCCAAGGGGAGCGCTGTAGTAATGAACTGAAATTCCAAACTTTGAACAAACATATCTCCTGTCCCGTTTGAGCTACAGTCATGACATTGTGTACATATATGCATCTCCTCATGAGAAACAAGTTTCCCATAAGTCTCTATAACCTCCGCCCATTCACAAAAGGTGAACATTTTGAAAGTGTGTGAAGACGGGCACTGTAATTCCATGCAGATACAGTTGACAATTTATAATTGTCACTAATTGGCCCAAGGGGGGCGCTGCATCATTGGTGGCAGCAGACATGTTTACTGTTGCCTTGTTCATGAATGTTGAGGGTGTGGGTGATGACAGAAATGGCAGCTCAATTGATCATGTCACCTAAATGCTGCTTATGACCTTTAACCCCTGACCCCAGGTGACAGCGAAGACCCTGGCTCAGCACGATGAGCTGATGAAGAAGACTGAGACCATGAGTGTCCTGATGGAGACCAACAAGATGCTGAGGGAGGAGAAGGAGGGGATGGAGCAGGAGCTGCAGCTGACACAGGCTAAAGTAAGACAGCAGGTTTACTTTCTCAGGGTTAAAGCACCAACCTTTGGATTTGATATCATAACCAATATTAAAATTTTTCTCTCAACCTTCTGTGAATTTGGTCCCAGTTTAGTTTTTAGGCCTGTTTTAGACTGAGGCCCAACTTTTTTTCTCTCTGTATTGATTGACATATATTAATCTATGTTTCTCCCTCTCCCTCTGTCAGGTGCGTAAGCTGGAGTTGGACGTGATGCCCATGCACGAGTCCAACGCTGAGCTGAGTGAGAAGAGCGGCATGCTGCAGGCAGAGAAGAGGATTCTGGAAGAGGACATCAAACGCTGGAAGGCCAGAACACAGGTTACTCTTCGACAGAAAAAATAATACCCCCCAAAAAACGCTGAAGCCTAGAGTAGACATTCTCAAAGTAATGATACCAAGCTTGAACGATGCCTTCCTTGTGACCCACAGCTTGTCAAATGTCTGAAAGCCGGTCTATTGAGTTTGGATTTGAAACATAATCTGTTCTGTATGTCCGCATAGCACCTGGTGAGCCAGCAGAAGAACACAGACTCAGAGGAGTACAAGCGTCTCCACTTCGAGAAAGAGGCTCACCTCAAACGCATCCAGCAACTCACTGAGGAGACAGGCAGGCTCAAGGCTGAGGTGGCCAGGTGAGAGTTAGCCTTGTCTATAATCCAAACTGAAATCACTGTTTCACTATTCTCTTATTACTTGGTACCAACGACCGCTAGGAAGCTGAATTACTTGATACAATAGACAAATGGGCTCCGTCTCTTGTTGTCAAATGGGAAAGCTCCACCCTCCCTCTTTTCCATCAGCGTCTCAGGGGCGTGGTAATCTCCTCAGGAGTGGAATCAACAATGGCAGTAGAAATCGCTCTGCCATTACCTGGTTGCATTATTATTATTTTTTATGTTTGCCTAATTTCAGTTTGTCAAAAGAAGTGTAGAAAATCGTATAATCTAAACCGCTGTGAAATATATTTTAAATAACCCAAAATATCCTATTTTTCAGATGTTTGAAGCTGGTGTACAAAACTGAAAGTATTAAGACTCAAAAGCGGGTCAGGGGACAGGGAGTAAAGCCAGGAAGGAGGGGGGGGAGAGAGTTGTTTGAATTCAGGCTGTTGTTGTTGCAATTCACCTAGTTCCACAAGGGGGCTGCATTCTACATGTAGATCCTAAATACCTGATCTCCCTGTAGGAGTGGTGGGTTCGTGACGTCCCTGCAGAGCCAAGTGCAGATGCTGCGTGAAGGCCTGGGGAAGGCGAGCTCTGAGCGGGATGCTCTCAGGAGGGACGTAGAGGCCAAGAACCTGGACATCCAGGAGAAGTTCTTCACCATCACTCAGGTCAGGAAGATCGGCCGCCGCTACAAGACCCAGTATGATGAGCTCAAGGTGGAGCACGACAAGGTGGGTTACTTGGTGAACCAGCTGGTGCCTTTTCTGGTTTCATAGTGATTTTTAAAATTGTTTTTTTATTGATTGTCACAAAGTTGTTTCCTGAAACTCATTAAACTAATAATATCCCTACTCATCTTGTCGCTAAATAACAAATGTGCTTGTCTGGATGGGACCATGTCGGACAACTCAAAATGTCTAACCTGATGTCCTTGATTAAATAGACGTTCTATTGTGTGAATTCTGCCATGCTGTATTGAGTGTTGATGGACTGATCTCCTCTCCAGATGGTGGCAGAGGCAGCATCCACACCAGCCCAGGAGCAGGAGGCCCAGCAGGCCTCAGTCCAGGAGCTCCAGGGTCTGAGAGACTCCCTGGGACAGGCTGAGACCCGGACTAGAGAACTGGAGGGACAGCTGGACAACCTCAACAAGGTCAGAGCAGTGTTTCCCCTACACCAGTGGTCACCAATGTTTTCTGAGTAAAGATCACTTTCTGAGTCAAAATACCAGCCTAGATCTACCGCTCAGATTTTTTTTTAACATGACATAAACGTAAGCCTATGCAACATTTAACCAATTAAAAACAGTTATTTCTGTAGCAATGACGTTTGTGCAGTGGGCTATAGCCCCAACACATCATTATCACTGCATATTGGCTATGCTTGAATTACCCTGCCAATGTCCTTCTCAGACCATCTTGACATTATATTTAAAAAATGTAAGTATATGATCACACTGGTAATATATAATTTGTTGTATTACAAAGTGTTGACAGTGCTGAATAACAACTTAAAAATGAACTTACTCAAAAACAGCAGAACTTTGCTGTATTCGTTGAGTCTCTCTATCGACTTTGATGTGTGTTCAAGGCTTTTTTTTTTTTTTTTACAGTCTATGGCTCGAGGAAACAGCAGACAGGGTGATCTGATTGGCTGCAGTAGGCCTATAGGTGCACTTGATTTGCTCTCAGGGCCTGCCGGGTAGGCAAAGTTCTACCTTCAGACACATTAAATGGTTCAAAATAGGAACACTTTGCCTTCCCGGTGTTAGGGCTGCTGAATCGAGTGCACCAACAGCGCGAAACAAATAACAAAAAAAAGGAACACAAGGCTTTATCGTTGGGTTTTTTACAGAAATGTTTGGTGAACGCCTAGGAATGCCTTGAAGATCGACCGGTTGGTGACCACTGCCCTACACTATTTTCCAGGCAACATCCAGACCAATACCTCACGAGGCTTCTTCTCTCTAAGATGAGACCTAGAAACTGAGATCTTTCGTTCTCAAAATAAAGGTCTGGGCATACTGCCAAATTGCAGATACTGATAGTGAGGATTTGTTCAGTCAGTCACTTGCATGAACACAGAAATTAGTTAGTACAAAAGCACAAACATTAAACATTTCCAGCACATGCCTAACTCTTTTAGGCGGAGGGTTCATGGGATAAGCCATTTTTCTACTTACCCAGAGTCTGATGAACTCGTGGATAGCATTTTTATGTCTCTGCCTGCAGTATGCTATTGAATACTGCATTGTTGGGAAAGAGCTTGTAAGTAAGCATTTCACTGTACTGTTTTACACCTGCTGTATCCTGTGCACATGACAAATAAAGTTTGAAAGTTGAAGGAAGTTAGTTTCGAGAGCCAATGCTAACTAGCGTTATTGCATTGACTGGAAGTCTACAGGTACGCTAGCATATGCTACCATACCTGTAGACTTCCACTAAACCATGGTGTGTCCCTCTCAGGTGGTGGGTGAGCGTGAGGCAGAGGTGCGTGGGGCCGAGGAGCAGACCTCCGGGCTGCAGACAGAGCTGACCAGGTTGAGACAGGAGCTGCAGGAGAAGGCCTCCCAGGAGGACACCCTCAAACAGCAGATGTCTGAGAAGGAGGAGAAGACCAGGAAAGCCTTAGTAGGGGCCAAGCAGAAGATCAACCAGCTCATGGGTAAGAGGCCAGGCCAGGCAACCTGACTGTGGCGCAAGCTTGTGTGTTGGTTTGAGTCAGGGTGAGCTTGGCATAGAGGTAGATGTGAATGCTGATCTCGCAGATATGTTTTGACTTGTCATCTCAACCGTTTGCTGGTTGGCAGGGCAAAAAATTAACAACCGCCAAATGCGTGTAGATTTAGGTATTGACAGGTAACAATGTCTATATCACCAGCCACGTTGGCGGGTGGTCAATTTGCAGGGCTCTACAGTGCAAGCATTACGTTTGCTTGCACTAAAATACATTTTAAATGAATTAATTAGGCCCTAATCTATGGATTTCACATGACTGGGAATACAGATATGCATCTGTTGGTCACAAATACCTTTAAAAAAAAAAAGTAGGGGCGTGGATCAGAAAACCAGTCAGTATCTGGTGTCACCACCATTTGCCTCATGCAGCACGACACATCTCCTTCACATAGAGTTGATCAGGATGTTTATTGTGACCTGTGAATGTTGTCCCACTCCTCTTCAATGGCTGTGCGAAGTTGCTGGATATTGGAACGTGCTGTTGTACACGTCGGTCCAGAGCATCCCAAAACATGCTCAATGGGTGAGAATGCAGGCCATGGAAGAACTGGAACATTTTCAGCTTCCAGGAACTGTGTACAGATCCTTGCGACGTGGGGCCGTGCATTATCATGCTGAAACATGAGGTGATGGCGGTGGATGAATGGCATGACAATGGGCCTCAGGATCTCGTCACGGTCTCTGTGCATTCAAATTGCCATTGATAAAATGCTATTGTGTTCGTTGTCCGTAGCTTATGCTTGCCCATACCATAACCCCACCGCCACCATGGGGCACTCTGTTCACAACGTTGACAACAGCAAACCGCTTGCCCACACGACGCCACACGCCATCTGCCCAGTACAGTTGAAACTGGGATTCATCCGTGAAGAGCAGTCTTCTCCAGCGTGCCAGTGGCCATCGAAGGTGAGCATTTGTTCACTGAAGTCTAATACGACGCTGAACTGCAGTCAGGTCAAGACCCTGGTGAGCATGCAGATGAGCTTTCCTGAGACGGTTTCAGACAGTTTGTGCAGAACTTCTTTGGTTTGCAAACCCACAGTTTCATCAGCTGTCCGGGTGGCTGGTCTCCGACGATCCCACAGGTGAAGAAGCCGGATGTGGAGGTCCTGGGCTGGCGTGGTTACACATGGTCTGCGGTAGTGAGGCCAGTTGGACATACTGACAAATTCTCTAAAACGACGTTGGAGGCGGCTTGTGGTAACAGCTCTGGTGGACATTCCTGCAGTCAGCATGCCAATTGCACGCTCCCTCAACATGAGACATCTGTGGCATTGTGTTGTGTGACACAAATGCACATTTTAGAGTGGCCTTTTATTGTCCTCAGCACAAACACTTTACATGTTGCGTTTATTTTTGTTCAATATACATTGTTTTGTTCACAAGCTTGGTTGTTTTTCAATGTTCGTTTGAATCTGCTGCTTCAACTGATAGCGAAGAGAGACTGTAGACACTGTCTACTACCAGTCACATCCCAAATCTCAAACACATACACGTGACATGACTCGAGTGGCCCCGTTGGCACGGTAATGTCCCGTCCTTAAAGGGGCAGCAGAACATTGTCTCTTCTGATATTTTGGTTACAAAACTTTGGTCACAAAATTAAATGAATGTACCATTACTTATTTTTTCTTTTTCAGAAACAATGCATGGTCTTTTTTATTGATGAATTATTATTATTATGGCAAAAATATTTTGGCTGGTAAAAAGAAATCCTGCCACAATGGCTGGTGGACTAAAGTTAATTTTAGGCCCGTCTGGGTGACAAAAACGTTTTGACCTTTCACCTCATCCCATCCTCTTCCCCAGGCTCCAAGGACCAACTGCAGAAGGAGAACGAGGAGCTGAAGCAACAGAAGGAGGAGCTGGAGGTCAGGGTCAGTGCTCTGAAGTCTCAGTACGAGGGCCGTCTGAGCCGCCAGGAGAGACACGGAGAGCAGAGGGACGAGGCTCCTGAACAGGGCCTCAGCAAGGTGAGATGGAGGGCTTAATGGAGGCATAGATTTCAATAGAGCACTCTGCTTTCTACCACACAAGCCTGGATTGCTATTCATTATGGCCGTGGTGCGAATAACACACTCTTCCACCTGTAGGCCCAGGAACAGCAGAGGACCACAGAGCAGAGAGGACCACTGAAGACCACCCCAGCTGCAGACAGGGGCAGGTAAAGTACACACACACACACTACTCCTGCACACCACGTGCAATGATGTTTGGTGTTGCATTGCAACACCTGTTCACCTGTTGTATTTCCCCTTCCCTATAGCGCCAGTACCTCAGAGCCCCCCACTGCCAACATCAAGCCCACCCCTCTGGCGGCCCAGGGCCAGAGCAAGCCCCCTGCCAACCCCGGGAACAAGTCCACCCCCCGGGCCAGCATCCGGCCCATGATCACCCCCGCCACCGTGCCCACCCCCACTCCTACTGCTACCGTCATGCCCACCACACAGGTGGAAAACCAGGAAGGTGAGGAGTTCTGTGGAGCTAATATCATTGTCAAATCAAATAACATTACAACAGGTGTAGATGTTACCTTGAAATTCTTACTTACGAGCCCTTTCCAAATAATGCAGAGTTAAAAAGTAAGAAGATTTGGCAAAAAAGGAAATGATAACATAAATAAAATGACAATAACAAGACTATATACAAGGAGTACCGGTACCAAGTCAATGTGCATGGGTACAAGGTAATTGAGGTAATATGTACATGTAGGTAGTAGGGGTAAAAGTGATGTGAATGTTATAGCATAATTATTTGAGTATTGGTCATTTTAAAGTGCTAGATGGCTCAGTCTGTATTGTGGTTTGGTAGTTGAAGTGCACTTTATTACTTGAATCAGATGAGATCCATGAGGGGGAAAACTAATGCACATTTCAGACAGAAGGATAGAGAATCAGACCGTATCCATGGTATTTCCCTGTCTGACCCCCTGTTGACCCTCTGACCCCTCCAGCCATGCAGTCTTCTGAGGGCCCGCTGGAGCATGTGACCGTGTATGGCAGTGCCAGCGGTTCAGTACGGTCAACCAGCCCCAACGTTCAGACCACCAGCCCAATGCTGGCGGTCCAGCAGACCCAGACCACAGCCTTCGTCCAACCAACACAGCAACAGAGCCTGCCCCACACTGAACCAGCCAATCAGGAGCAGGCCCTGGCCCCAGTCGTCATTGAAGCTGCACCCAGCTCGCAAGTGGAGAGGCCATCGACGTCCACAGCTGTGTTTGGGACAGGTAGGAGACGGGATTGAATCTAACCTGGGGTTTCTATAGATTTGGGGTATAGTAGCTTTGTCTAACTAAGCTCAAGGGTTGGCAATGTACTCACTGTATTACCACTGGCCCTCTAATATTGAATGAAATATGCATATCCACCAAGTGAAGTTAGAAATGTGACTTGTCCAACCTTCCAGTTTCAGCCACCCCAGGGACATCCTCTATGTCCAAGAGACCTCGTGAGGAGGAGCAGGACACCTCTACGGTGACTGACACAGACACCCCCCAGGAGGACCCCTCTGAACCCCCCATCCCCAAGAAGCTACGCATCATCCAGAGGGTCGACCCAGAGGAGCCAGAGGCCCAGGAGGTGGTGCTGGCTGAGGGCAGTACAGTGTTGGCCCCAGAGACCAGCCAGGTGAGACTGTGTGTGTACCCACCCTATGTCTAGAGGCTGATGGGATGGTCTTTCTGGTTTGCGTGTAACCATGTGTGTCTATATCAGCAGGTGGTGGTGGAGTACCCAGTACTAGAGGAGGCTGATGCGGGGACAGCGTCTCAGTCTGTCCCCGTAGTGCTACTCCTGTCCCAGCCCACAGAGGTCACATTCTCATACGACTCCCCCGATGAATCCCCTCAGCACGACGTCATCGTCATAGTGACTGACTCGGAGAGCGAGGATGAACAGGAGGATGAGGAGGAAGAGGAACAGGTATGGACTGAGGGAAATATTTTAGGGGCCAGACACTTTACTCCCTCAAGTCCTAGCAGAAATGTTGAAGATGAAAAATCTTGCCTAAAATTATTTTAGAAATGTCAAATTTACATTTTATTAATTTAGCAGACGCTCTTATCCAGCGCGATTTACTGTAGTGAGTACATACATTTCATATTTTTCTAAACTTTTTTTTGTACTGGTCCTCCGTGGGAATTGAACCCGCAACCCTGCCGTTTCAAGCGCCATGCTCTACCAACTGAGCCAAACTCAATTAGAAAGGATGAAAAGGTTGATGTGAAGCCCATACTCATAAAGATGTTAATTTCAACATTGACAGTGCTGGATTATGAGACCTTTTGGTAACACTTTACTTGACACCCAGCCTCATAACATGGTCATAACCATGTCATGTCATAACAGCGGACATAACTGGTCATAACCATGTCATAACAGCGGACATAACTGGTCATAACCATGTCATAACAGCGGACATAACTGGTCATAACCATGTCATAACAGCGGACATAACTGGTCATAACCATGTCATATGTCATAACAGTGGACATAACTGGTCATAACACTGTCATGACACATATTTAGACCTGTTGTGACATATATTGCGTTATTTGATGGCTGCTTATGACAGAGTGTAAAAACCCACAAAACCTACCACCCAATGAAAAACATTCCATTACACCATAGCCTATGTGTTATCAGTATGTTTATGTTGTATAACATATATATTTTTTGGACCAATTGTAATTGCGTACACATTGATGTCAGACATGCACCTACCCCAATGCTCTGTTGCTGATGACTGAGATGAATGCAGGACCAGATTTCAGGAGCAGGTCAAGACGTCCTATTTTCTACTGATACAGTATAAGGACATGTTCGTGATGGGCCTATCTGATTATGATGGTCATAATGCTTCTTGACAGTGTCGTAAAGTGTATTTTCTTAGTCCAAGTAAAGTGACACAGGATGGTCATAATGATTCATGACAGTGTCAAAGTGTATTTTCAACAAGTTATTTAAATGTATGATGAAAAAACATGACTGTAAAACTTATTGGCAGGGAAAAAAACTAATTTGAATAAATGTGGGTTTTGACACTTATGTAGGTGTCATAACTAGCCATAAAATAAAGCAATATACGTCACAACTGATGTAAATATATGGGTCATGACAGTGTTATGACACTGGGTGTCAAGTGTTACCGACCTTTTATACCTGCCTCTGTAGGACTATGATGAAGATGACGAGGAAGATGAGGAGGATGAAGAGATGGGAGATGAGGGAGAGGAGAGCAACGAAGGTAGCGGAGATGGCAATGAGGCATTCGAAGGCGACTACAGAGAAGTAAAATCAACACACACACTGTTACTAACCTAACTAGATCATTTCCAGTATGTTTTGTAATCCCACCCTCTAATTCTTTCCACTCTCACTCCTACCTTGGATGTTACAGCCAGCCAGCATGTTTTCCTGTGTGACCAAACAGTGTCTCAGCAGTGCTCTTGCTTCACTCTGCTACCTCATGTCTGTGTTGTGATCTTGTGGCGGTGTGTGTGGGAGGGAGGTGTTGGGGGGAACTGGAGGATTTGCAGGGGAGAGGGGTGGGTGCTTTGTGGTCAGGGTAGGAGTGCAGAAGAAAGTGGGGCAGGGAACACAGTCTCTGCCTAGCTAGCTGTAAAGTTACAAGACCTCTAAGGGAACGCCTGTACAAGGGAAATAAATAATGATCAGAATGTGTTGCTGACCGCACCAACACTGCCGGGCAGTAGGTAGTGCGTGGGAACCATCCTGTAACCACCTCCTTCCACCCTCTTTCCTCTTCTTTTCTGTCTCTCTCCCACTGTGTGTGTCCCTCCTCCCTCAAAGGGTGCTGATGTGACAGACCCAGGCACGGAGACGGAGGAGGGTCTAGGAGCATCGGACTCCACTCAGCGCCCGGCCGACTCCCAGACACACAGCTGTAAGATGATGGAAACTCTGTCACACACTGTTGTCTCGACAGTCACATATGACATATGCCTGTATTCAGACCCCTTTTTCCACATTTGTTACATTACAGCCTTTTTCTAAAATGGATTAAATAGTTTTTTTCCCTCATCAATCTAGACACAATACCCCATAATGACAAAGCAAAAACAGGTTTTTAGAAATTGTTGCAAAAATACACTGCTCAAAAAAATAAAGGGAACACTTAAACAACACAATGCAACTCCAAGTCAATCACACTTCTGTGAAATCAAACTGTCCACTTAGGAAGCAACACTGATTGACAATACATTTCACATGCTGTTGTGCAAATGGAATAGACAACAGGTGGAAATTATAGGCAATTAGCAAGACGCCCCCAATAAAGGACTGGTTTTGCAGGTCGTGACCACTGACCACTTCTCAGTTCCTATGCTTCCTGGCTGATGTTTTGGTCACTTTTGAATGCTGGCGGTGCTTTCACTCTAGTGGTAGCATGAGACGAAGTCTACAACCCACACAAGTGGCTCAGGTAGTGCAGCTCATCCAGGATGTCACATCAATGCGAGCTGTGGCAAGAAGGTTTGCTGTGTCTGTCAGCGTAGTGTCCAGAGCATGGAGGCGCTACCAGGAGACAGGCCAGTACATCAGGAGATGTGGAGGAGGCCGTAGGAGGGCAACAACCCAGCAGCAGGACTGCTACCTCCGCCTTTGTGCAAGGAGGAGCAGGAGGAGCACTGCCAGAGCCCTGCAAAATGACCTCCAGCAGGCCACAAATGTGCATGTGTCTGTTTCTGACCGTTTGAGCAGACTCCATGAGGGTGGTATGAGGGCCCGACGTCCACAGGTGGGGGTTGTGCTTACAGCCCAACACCGTGCAGGACGTTTGGCATTTGCCAGAGAACACCAAGATTGGCAAATTCGCCACTGGCGCCCTGTGCTCTTCATAGATGAAAGCAGGTTCACACTGAGCACGTGACAGACGTGACAGAGTCTGGAGACGCCGTGGAGAACGTTCTGTTGCCTGCAACATCCTCCAGCATGACCGGTTTGGCGGTGGGTCAGTCATGGTGTGGGGTGCATTTCTTTGGGGGGCCGCACAGCCCTCCATGTGCTCGCCAGAGGTAGCCTGACTGCCATTAGGTACCGAGATGAGATCCTCAGACCCCTTGTGAGACCATATGCTGGTGCGGTTGGCCCTGGGTTCCTCCTAATGCAAGACAATGCTAGACCTCATGTGGCTGGAGTGTGTCAGCAGTTCCTGCAAGAGGAAGGCATTGATGCTATGGACTGGCCCGCCCGTTTCCCAGACCTGAATCCAATTGAGCACATCTGGGACATCATGTCTCGCTCCATCCACCAACGCCACGTTGCACCACCGACTGTCCAGGAGTTGGCGGATGCTTTAGTCCAGGTCTGGGAGGAGATCCCTCAGGAGACCATCCGCCACCTCATCAGGAGCATGCCCAGGCGTTGTAGGGAGGTCATACAGGCACGTGGAGGCCACACACACTACTGAGCCTAATTTTGACTTGTTTTAAGGACATTACATCAAAGTTGGATCAGCCTGTAGTGTGGTTTTCCACTTTAATTTTGAGGGTGACTCCAAATCCAGACCTCCATGGGTTGATAAATTTGATTTCCATTGATAATTTTTGTGTGATTTTGTTGTCAGCACATTCAACTATGTAAATAAAAAAGTATTTAATAAGATTATTTCATTCATTCAGATCTAGGATGTGTTATTTTAGTGTTCCCTTAATTTTTTTGAGCAGTGTATAAAAAATATCAAACTGAAAGAAAACATTTACATAACTATTCAGACCCTTTACTCACTACTTTGTTGAAGCACCTTTGACAGCGATTACAGCCTCGAGTCTTCTTTGGTATGACGCTACAAGCTTGGCACACCTGTATTTGGGGAGTTTCTCCCATTTTATTCTCTGTAGATCCTCTCAAGCTCTGTTAGGTTGGATGGGGAGTGTCGCTGCACAGCTATTTTCAGGTCTCTCCAGAGATGTTCGATCGGGTTCGAGTCCGGGCTCTGGCTGGGCTACTCAAGGACATTCAGAGACTTGTCCTGAATCCACTCCTGCATTGTCTTGGCTGTGTGCTTAGGGTCGTTGTCCTGTTGGAAGGTGAACCTTTGTCCCAGTCGGAGGTCCTGAGCGCTCTGGAGCAGGTTTTCATTAAGGATCTCTCTGTCCCTCGATCCTGACCTGTCTCCCAGTCCCTGCCGCTGAAAAACATCCCCACAGCATGATGCTGCCACCACCATGCTTCACCGTAGGGATGGTGCCAGGTTTCCTCCAGACGTGATGCTTGGCGTTCAGGCCAAAGAGTTCAATCTTGGTTTCATCAGACCAGAGAATCTTGTTTCTCATGGTCTGAGTCCTTTAGGTACCTTTTGGCAAACTTCAAGCGGGCTGTCATGTACCTTTTATTGAGGAGTGGCTTCCGTCTGGCCACTCTACCATAAAGGCTTGGTTGGTGGAGTGCTGCAGAGATGGTTGTCCTTCTGGAAGGTTCTCCCATCTCTACAGAGGAGCTCTGTCAGAGTGACCATTGGGTTCTTGGTCACTTCTCTGACCAAGGCCCTTCTCCCCAGATTGCTCAGTTTGGCTGGGCGGCCAGCTCTAGGAAGAGTCTTGGTGGTTCCAAACTTCTTCAATTTTTAAGAATGATGGAGGCCACTGTGTTCTTAGGGACCTTCAATACTGCAGACATTTTTTGGTACCCTTCCCCAGATCTGTGCCTCGACACAATCCTGTCTCTGAGCTCTACGGACAATTCCTTCGATCATGGCTTGGTTTTTGCTTTGACAAGCACTGTCAACTGTAAGACCTTATATAGACAGGTGTGTGTCTTTCCAAATCATGTCGAATCAATTGAATTTACTAAGGTGGACTCCAATCAAGTTGTAGAAACATCTCAAGGATGATCAATGGAAACCGGATTCACCTGGGCTCAATTTCGAGTCTAATAGCAAAGGGTCTGAATACTAATGTAAATAAGGTATTTCTGTTTTTTAGTTTTAATAAATGTGCACATATTTCTAAAAACCTGTTTTCACTGTCATTATGGGGTATTGTGTGTAGATTGATGAGGGAAACATTTAATTTCATCCATTTTAGAATGAGGCTGTAACGTTACAAAATGTGGAATTGTCAAGGGGTCTGAATACTTTCCGAATGTACTGTATGTTAGTGTCTGTCCGGATTGAGAGTAATACATTTGAGTCAATCAGTTGGTAGACTAACCAAGTCAGTAGATTCACCATATCGTAAACTCATACAGACATGAGCCTATTTTACAATATTACAGCGTTGTCTGTTGGTTTATTATGATTTTGATGTAAAGGAGAACTCTCTGTCAAACTAAACCACTGTCTCCCCTCTCCTGTTTTGTCAGTCGAGGGCAGCAGCAGTATGGAAGCCTTCTCCAGTGAACCAACCAGCTCTGCTCCCGGAATGCCCTGGTCACCACGGAGGGCACCCCACCTGCTGCCCCCCCGGCTCAACATGACCCAGGAACTGGGCCCCCCCGCTCAGGTACAGGTCTGTGCTTATGACTCAATATAACCATCTAAACTGTATCTCTGTGTGTAAAACATTTTTACATTTTAGTCATTTAGCAGACGCTCTTATCCAGAGTGACTTACAAATTGGACAGTTGTATTGCTGTTTGTGTTATGGTTACATTTGTGCAGTATCAGGTTGTGGTAACCAGTAGTGTGTGTGTGTCTTACTGCGCCCCATGCGTCGCCAGTCTGTAGGCCGAGTCCCTCAGCTCAACCCTGGGATGGCCATCAGCGGAGTAAGTGACACCCTTGCATCTTAAAGGGATATAGTGTGAGATTTTTCAACCCAGTCAGATGAACCCATGAATACTATTTTTGTCTCTGCGTGCAGTTTTGAAGGAAGTTGAAGGTCGTTTTGCGAGCCATTGCTAACTAGCGTTAGCGCAATGACGAAGTCTATGGGAACAGATTGCATGCTAGCTATTCCCATAGACTTTCGGTCATTGCGCTAACGATAGTTAGCAACTTCCTTCAAACTGCAAGCAGAGACAAAGAAATGGTATCCATGAGTTCATCTGACTCTGGGGAAGTAGAAAAGGGGCTTAATTGCCAAAATCTCGCACTATCCCTTTAAACTATCTTATGTGTTGTGTTTTGTTGTCAGTGTCTGTATAAAATGATCTCCTTCCCTCCTGCAGCAGCACTACTGTGACGATGACGACAGGATGGTGCCACACCGCTCTGACGGCTTTGCAGAAGCTATCCAGTGAGTAACACACACATACTTAAACACACCAAAATCAGCAGCTAAACACCGCTAGTGAAGTTCCCATAGCTGACCCCATAGTACTAATCTCTCTCTGTGGTCCAGTTCTCCCCAGGTGGCTGGTGTTCCTCGGTTCAGGTTCGGCACCCCAGAGGACCTGATGTCCCAGACCACCTCCTCCCACTCTGACCTGGGACAGCTGGCATCACAAGGAGGTACTGGACTGTACACAGGCACACCTCATCCCTTTTCTTTTTCTCCATACCCTACCATACCCTTTTTTTTCTCAGAGACCTTTGATTTGAAGAGATCTTACTTTTGCCATGTCTATATCTCTGTATCTCAATCTCTCATTAGTGAAGTCAAAATTATTTGTTTATTGTAGGTTTGGTTCTAAAGTGTATCTGTGTATGTAGGTCTGGGGATGTATGATAGTCCTCTGTTCCTGCCAGGTCATGAGGATGAGTCTGGGGGTCGCAGTGTTCCCACCACACCCCTGCAGGTGGCTGCCCCAGGTATGGTTCACACACATTCTCTTTCAACTATCTCGACTTGAGACAATTTGAGAATTGTGACGTGTATCAGGCTATTACGTTTCATTATTGGTAATAATATTTTAACACTCCAGAATTCACTATCTCCCGCCAGTGTCCATATTCGCAGAGGGCCTGCCCTCTGACGGCACTGAACACTCCTCCCAGTCTGTTCCCATGGTAACCACCTCTACCCCGGGCCTGGCGGTGGCCGGAGGACCCAGTCCTGGGGACGAGAGGGATGATGTCTTCATGGAGCCTGAGGGAGACCGGTGAGACCAACATGCTTGAAATTGATCAAAAGTAAAGCTAGCTGAACTTGAACCACAGCAGTAGTTAATGGTGTGATCCTCCATAGTGAATGACTAACCTGTGTTGTGTATGTGTCCAGTGTGGAGGTGTCTCTGGAGCCTGTGGCGTCTCAGGCAGGGGAGATGGAGGTACCTGCCCAGCCCTCAGATGACGTAAGCCTGCCTTCTACCAGTAAGGAACCCTCCTCCAGCTATGCAGGTACTGACCCCTACATTATAACCCCTACCCATGCTCCAACCTTATATCAAACTATAAATAGGTGGAATTTACATTCTAGTGAGATTTCAGTCAATTTGACAGGCTTAATACTGTTTTTATAGGAGCTTGGTTCCGACCACCTTGGAATGAATATTTAACGGAAGGGTCCATTGTCTTTCTGACTAGTAGGCCAGATTGCTTTCTCATTTGGCTGTAGTAGCACCCAGTGTTGGAATGAGCCGTGTAACTGTGCCCCTTCTCTCACCCTCTCTACCTTAGACACTAGTAGCACTCAGCCCAAACCCTCTAGACCAGGACCCAGCCGACAGCTCCAACGCTGGACAGAGAACCGTATGAGGAGAGGTGAGATAAAACACAAACACACTTATACTGTACACAGCTCTTAATAGCACATAAAAACCATGTCCAGATCCATTGTTGATGTTGAAGCAATTTTAAGTCAGAAGATAAAACATTTAATGTAAAATTGTTACATTAGCATTGTCTTTGCATTATACATTATATAGAATGTGATTGTTTTTACATTGGTAAAGCAGACCTTTGTCTCATCAGTATGTGTCTTTTGATGGGAAACAGGTACATTGCCATCACGGGGTGTAACTGGGACTGGGAGGAGATTCGCCAGATAAACAACCAATCAGAGCTCCTGCCCCGACATAATTCCTGTCTCCATGGCGCTACAAGATTGGTCACCATGGTTCCAAAGATAACACCCGCGGTCACCATAAATCAAAATGACATATTGCGTTTTAGAATCGGTTCTAGTCATGATGGATCACCTGATCATTTCATTAAAGTTGATTAATCATATTTTTTTGTACTTAAAGTTTGTAAGCTGAGTCCTTGCTAAAGCATTGTGTTGTTGGTTTTATGAATAATAAAGTTTGCGATCTGTGAGAATAGTGTGTTTGTGTGACCCAATCTGTTTTTGATTGTCCTGGCTGTTTTTTCTCAGACTTCCTTTGGACAGTTTAAAAAGTCTTTGGCTGAGTTCTTCTGGGGAGCGGTGTTCACTGGAGGAGTAGCTATGAAAGGCCGCTCATCTCCCATATTGACGTTGTAGTATTTGGCTGAAAGACAAGAGGGGAGAGGGATGTGAGGAAAATATGGGCTCACTTGATGTCATTGCAGAGTTGACTTGTTTTGACTTGAACCATGCAAAATATATAACTGACAGAAAACCACCAACCATGTTTTGTCAGAAAAACATCACTTGTGGAAGGCCTCTTAATTGGCCACAGCAGACCCTGAGCCTCATGTTTTGTTTCTTTAGTGACAATGAACAGACGGACAGCAACACCTCCGTACTCAGAGTAAGGAAGGTTGGCTGCTGTTGACGACCTCCTAGGACGAGATCAGGACCTAACCATGCTGTACCAGCAGACCAATCATCTTTACTCCACCATCCCCTTCCTCTTGCTCCATTTAGTCAGGCAGACAATTATTTTGACCAATAAAATCAGATCTTTTTCAGATCTGATTGGTCAAAAGACCAATTAAGGAATAATAAATATCAGAATTGAGCTGCCTGTCTAAATGCAGCTTTATGATCCACATGGTGGTCTGATGTGTCAGATATGACTGTGTGTAAGGTCTAGTCTAGGAATGGATCTTTACAGCAGCCAGACCAGTGCTGGGTTTTCCTGCAAACTAGTCTTAAAAGAACAAGCTAAAGTAGCGACATTGAATTAAAATCCTCAAAGAAGGCTACAGGCTCTGATTTGGTAGAGTTATCCTACCTGTAAGATTTATGGGAAGATTGTTCCATTTGTTTTCATATTCAGTAATGGAATAAAGTTATCTTTATATACAGTGAGGGAAAAAGGTATTTGATCCCCTGCTGATTTTGTACGTTTGCCCACTGACAAAGAAATTATCAGTCTATAATTTTAATGGTAGGTTTATTTGAACAGTGAGAGACAGAATAACAACAAAATCCAGAAAAACGCATGTCAGAAATGTTATAAATTGATTTGCATTTTAATGAGGGAAATAAGTATTTAACCCCTCTGCAAAACATGACTTAGTACTTGGTGGCAAAACCCTTGTTGACAATCAGAGGTCAGACGTTTCTTGTAGTTGGCCACCAGGTTTGCACACATCTCAGGAGGGATTTTGTCCCACCCCTCTTTGCAGATCTTTTCCAAGTCATTAAGGTTTCGAGCCTGACGTTTGGCAACTCGAACCTTCAGCTCCCTCCACAGATTTTCTATGGGATTAAGGTCTGGAGACTGGCTAGGCCACTCCAGGACCTTAATGTGCTTCTTATTAAGCCACTCCTTTGTTGCCTTGGCCGTGTGTTTTGGGTCATTGTCATGCTGGAATACCCATCCACGACCCCTTTTCCATGCCCTGGCTGAGGGAAGGAGGTTCTCACCCAAGATTTGATGGTACATGGCCCCGTCCATCGTCCCTTTGATGCGGTGAAGTTGTCCTGTCCCCTTAGCAGAAAAACACCCCCAAAGCATAATGTTTCCACCTCCATGTTTGACGGTGGGGATGGTGTTCTATGGGGTCATAGGCAGCATTCCTCACCAAACACAGCGAGTTGAGTTGATGCCAAAGAGCTCGATTTTGGTCTCATCTGACCACAACACTTTCACCCAGTTCTCCTCTGAATCATTTAGATGTTCATTGGCAAACTTCAGACGGGCATGTATATGTGCTTTCTTGAGCAGGGGGACCTTGCGGGCGCTGCAGGATTTCAGTCCTTCACGGCATAGTGTGTTACCAATTGTTTTCTTGGTGACTATGGTCCCAGCTGCCTTGATCATTGACAAGATCCTCCCGTGTAGTTCTGGGCTGATTCCTCACCGTTCTCATGATCATTGCAACTCCACGAGGTAAGATCTTGCATGGAGCCCCGGGCCAAGGGAGATTGACAGTTCGTTTGTGTTTCATCCATTTGCAAATAATCGCACCAACTGTTGTCACCTTCTCACCAAGCTGCTTGGCGATGGTCTTGTAGCCCATTCCAGCCTTGTGTAGGTCTACAATCCTGTCCCTGACATCCTTGGAGAGCTCTTTGGTCTTGGAATCTGATTTATTGATTGCTTCTGTGGACAGGTGTCTTTTATACAGGTAACAAACTGAGATTAGGAGCACTCCCTTTAAGAGTGTGCTCCTAATCTCAGCTCGTTACCTATATAAAAGACACCTGGGAGCCAGAAGTCTTTCTGATTGAGAGGGGGTGAAATACTTATTTCCCTCATTAAAATGCAAATCAATTCATAACATTTTTGACATGTGTTTTTCTGGATTTTTGTTGTTGTTATTCTGTCTCTCACTGTTCAAATAAACCTACCATTAAAATTATAGACTGATAATTTCTTTGTCAGTGGGCAAACATACAAAATCAGCAGGGGATCAAATACTTTTTTCCCTCACTGTATTACCTCAATTACCTCGAATAACCTGTACCCCCGCACATTGACTCGGTAATGGTACCCCTGAGTGGCGCAGTGGTCTAAGGCACTGCATAGCAGTGCTAACTGTGCCACTAGAGATCCTGGTTCGAATCCAGGCTCTGTCGCAGCCGGCCGCGACCGGGAGACTCATGGGCGGCGCACAATTGGCTCAGCGTCGTCCAGGGTAGGGGAGGGAATGGCCGGCAGGGATGTAGCTCAGTTGATAGAGCATGGCGTTTGCAACGCCAGGGTTGTGGGTTCGATTCCCACGGGGGGCCAGTATTAAAAAATATATATGTATTCACTAACTGTAAGTCGCTCTGGATAAGAGCGTCTGCTAAATGACTAAAATGTAAATGTAAATGTACCCCCTGTATATAGTCTCGTTATTGTGTTACTTTTTTTAACTGAAGTTTATTTAGTAAATATTTTCTTAACTCTTATTTTTCTCAAAACTGCATTGTTGGTTAAGGGCTTGTAAGTAAGCATTTCACAGTAAAGTCTACACCTGTTATATACATAACATTTGATTTGATTTGAATATGCGCATGCTCATCTATTTTCAAATGATAAAGCTATGAACATTAACTTCATATTTAAGAACACTATAACAATATGGAAGAAAATGAAACGTATTCTACAAGAACCAATATAACGCCCTAAAAACACAACCTTATGGAACAATCCTTGGATAGCTTTTCAGAATTCACCGATAAATTGGTCCACATGGAAAACTAAAGGCATAGAAACTGTAAATGACTTGATAATAAGATTTTTTTAAATTTCCATTACCGCTTTAAAAAGCAATTTTGGTTTAACCAATGTCGATATTTTCACATGCAACAATACATGCAACTTAAAAGTTTTATATCACAAAATGTGGATTTGAAATCTTTTGGAGATCAGAGAAATCTTGAGGGAATCCTTTTTGATTCAGAAAAGGATATTCATATGATAGGCAAGATATACAAAACCTTGCAGAGAGCCTATCCAACTGACAATCTCTTAGAAAAAAATATAAACTATTGGAACCAAGACTTAAAAATAACTGATATTGGCACAAGATGGAGGGAATGTTGGAACATAACTAATGAGATTACAGTTAATGAAAATGTACATTTAATCCAGTATAAATGAATGTATAGAATGTATTATACAAGAGACAAAATGCACATTCTACAGCACAACAGCAGTCATGTCTGAAGTGTAAAACGAATAACAACTCAATAATCCATGCCTTCTGGGAATGTTATAAAGTCCAAAGTTTGCTGTCAGAAGTATTACAATGTAAATGTACTTTTAATCCTTTTGTCTGCATATTTCAAGACATGGCATAGGAGGGTGCAGTGAGATACCCGATGGGTTGGACGATACTTTTCTCGTCAAACATCTTTAAAAAAAGGTATACTTAAACTGGAAATCAACCAATCCTCCGTCATTAACGCAATGGAAAGGTGAAATGATTTATTATCAAAAAATTTAAAGTGCGTGGGCTACAGAGAGAAACAAAATGGTACAGTTTGAGGCCATGTGGCATAAAGTGATGCGGCACTGGAGATGGGGGAGTGTGCTAGTGGGTCTTGGAAGGTGTGATGTAGTTGATGTTTGTATGATGCTGTCGTTTGTATGTGTATGTTATGTATTGTTTATTTTTAAAAATATATCTTAAAAAAAATACAATGATTTTGTGTCTAGGCTAAATACTTACAGCGTGAGAGGAGGTAGTAGTTGTATCCCTCAGGTTTCCTGGAGGTGGGGATGGACACGGCGGAGGTCACGGTGGAGGGGAATCCTCTCCAGGTCAGACGGATGTTGATCTCCTGTCCCAGCAGAGACACTGAGAGGAGAGACACAGTTCAGTTTAGAGACTGACGATGGTGTGATATTTGAAATGAAGAGTTTATGGTCTAGGAGTCTGATTGTTAGAGTAAAATGTCATGGACTGAATTGTGCGTCATTGCAGTCTGTCCGTTTACTTTTAGTGACTCATTAAAAAAACATTGTTGTTGTGACACTCCACTACAATCTGATTCTGCACCCACACAATCTGTGTTCTGTTTGATGTCCCTGAATGACCTGTTAACATAGTGTACCTTTTTCCCTCCTCTTTCTCAGTCTTTCATCTCCGAGTAGGATCTCTCTCTCTGTGACACATCTTTATAGATAACAAAATGTGGCTCAACTCAAATATAACCTTACCTAATATTATATGACAAGTTTTTCAGGTTTTCACCACTACCTCAGTCTGACAAAATGTTCAGTGAAAGGACTGAAAAGGTCAAAATGTAGGCGGCTCGTTACCTGCTTGTCTGGCAACGCGGTTTTGTACGGTATAAGCAGAGTAGTGGACCTTCCTGCCACATGTAGGGCTGGTGCCAGACTGGTAGGAATACTTCTGCACCAAGCCTCCTGAATAGACAATCATACAGATATCACACATGCTAACTCAGGATACTACAGATGGCATGAGCATGCTTGTTAATGTTATGCTTTACCAGAGATGGTAGAAACCTAAGTAAATCTGTTATCACTGGCTTTAGCAATAAAAAATCATCCCATGTATTTATTAAACAGAGCATATCAGGGGTTAATGAACGATGTGGAAGGAGTGAGCCTGAGTTTATTATCCCTTTTAAACCATGGCTATAATTTAACACAGTTGCTGCTAGAAATGTGTTTATTTGCAGGTATAAATGTGTTTAACATCCACTGAAGTAGCTAGCAAGTTTACTACAGTAGTTGCCTTGGTAACCAAACAAACAGATTTGCTAGTTTAGCTAACCAAACCAAAAATTGAATTCAACAATGCTAATAATAATTTCAATTTGACTTTTGCTTTCAAAAGCAGCTCAAACATAGAACATGTAAGAATGAACTATAGCCATTGAATTCTACCGCGCTGATATACCGTGCGTAATACTGAAATAATGCACGCTCTAGAATGCCCTTCAAGCCAATCAGAAACGAGTATCCAACAATGCCATGGTATAATTAAGCAATAAGGTCCGAGGGGGTGTGGTATATGGCCAATATACCATGGCTAAGTGCTGTTCTTATGCACTACGCAACGCGGAGTGCCTGGATACAGCCCTTAGCCATGGTATATTGACCATATACCACAAACCCCCGAGGTGCCTTATTGCGATTATAAAATGGTTACCAACGTCATACCCGTGGTATACGGTTTGATATACCACGGCTGTCAGCCAATCAGCATTCAGGGCTCGAACCACCCAGTTTATAATGTCACTTATAAACTGTGTGAATCGAGCCCTGAATGCTGATTGGCTGATTATTATGAGCCATCCTCCCCTCAGCAGCCTCCACTGAAGTAGTTTGGCTATAGAGATCAGTCACCTCTCTTGAAGAAGTAGACAGACTCTTTCCTCTTGCGGTACTCAGGCACAGACAGGGCAGCCGTGATCTGACCTTGCAGCCCATTGAAGCCCACCCTGATCAGCTTGGGGTAGCCCATGTCCATCATGCCGTTCTCAAACCTCCAGTAGTTAGCACCCTGCAGCAGAGGGGACAGCACACAAATAAATAAACAATATTTTTCTGTCCATCACCTCCACTTAATGTAGTATAGAAGTCTTATAGCACACAATAGGCTTAGGATAGTCACATTTTAGGCCTGTTGAACAGATGGCACTGACTTGAAGTGTGACTGAGAATGGAAATCCTGCCATTTCCTTTGGGTAGCTTATGTTTAATGTTACACAGAAGGTGTGCTGTACCTTGAAGAAGTATGTCTTGCCCTGGCAGTTGCAGCGGGTGAAGACGGTGTCGATGGGAGAAGGGACGCCCCACACGTCTGTTATCCCATGGGCAGGTCCAGGCATCCTGTTACTATCCATGACCCAGAAATAGTGTCCTACAAGGGAAGCAACACTGGTATTATGGTACTTACATCTACATCTAGTCTTAAATCACTTTTCATCCTCAATGTATCCTCTATAGCCTTCAAACTCAACCCTGGACCTCGACGCCAGTTCCACTGTATTGTTTCATTGCTCCCCTTTAATCAGGGACTGATTTAGACCTGGGACACCAGGTGTGTGCAATTCATTATCAGGTAGAACAGAAAAACAGCAGGCTCCAGACCTTGTAGGGTAAGAGTTGAATACCCCTGCTCTATAGTCTATATTAGGGGTATAAAATTGGTGTCCCAGGTATAAATCAGTCCCTGATTAAAGGGGAGCAATGAAACAATACAGTGGAACTGGCGTCGAGGTCCAGGGTTGAGTTTGAAGGCTATAGTTTTCTGTTCTACCTGATAATTAATTGCACCCACCTGGTGTCCCAGGTCTAAATCAGTCCTTCATTAGAGGGGAAGTGTGGAAATCAGCAGTGCTATGGAACTGGCTTCAAAGTCCAGATTTGAATTTAATACAGGGTGTTGTTTTATAAACTGTAGTTAACTCTCTTTACCCTCATGTCTCAATTTAGAAAATGGTTGGGGTTCTATTGGGTTTGAAAAACAATCAAACTGTCACATCTATAGAAAGCAAATAAGAGCTGAAGGACAGTCCACTCACAATATCGCTGCAGCATTCAACATTCAAAGGCAGACAGACAGGGTGCAGTCTGGGAGGGCAAACCCAACATCTGGTGTGTCTGGCACATAGACTTATATAACTATCTACACCAAGTCGTTCACGCTTTCCGTAGCCGATGTGAGTAAGACCTTTAAACAGGTCAACATTCACCAGGCAGCAGGGTCGGACGGATAACCAGGATGTGTACTCAGAGCATGCGCTGACCAACTGGCAAGTGTCTTCACTGACATTTTCGTTCAAATATTTTTTATTGAACACACACAAGAATGGTGTATAGGTATGAAAGACATGTGTACAGTTCTGATCTAAACATAAGAGAACAGACATGAACAACAAGACCCAGAGTTCTGGACACAAAACAAATATTACAAAACACGACATACAGAACAGGGACAGGTAGAAAGAAAAAGGGTAGATGTAACCCCCCCACTTATACCCCCCTTTATCCCCCCCCCATTCCACCCTATTCCCCTCCCGACTGCTCGAGTGTCGGGGCCAGCACACGCTGCCCAAAGGTAGATTACAATATGACAATTGAGAGTGCGTTAAAAAGTACAAATTCACAGCACCGACTGGTCCAGGTAAGAGAGGAAAGGCTGCCAGATTTGATCAAATGTTGATAATTTATTGTTTAGAATATATCTAATTCTTTCTAAGTGTACAGTTTTTGCCACTTCGCTGAGCCATAATTTGGTAGAGGGCGCTTCCCTCCTTTTCCAAAACAACAAGATTAATTTTTTTGCCGAAATGAGACTGTAAGAGATGAGTTGTTTTTGGGAGTTGGTTAATCCGTTTAGGGAATCGGACACTCCCAGGATTATCAGAAGCGGGTCTGGGTCTATTGAAGTCTCCAGAACTTCAGAGAGGACCCCAAATATTCCACACCAATAACCATACAGACTAGAGCATAGGGCAAAGCATTGGAGTAGTGTACCCTGCTCAGCCTGACATTTATCACACATAGGGGATGTATCAGGAAATATCCTATGCAGTTTAGTTTTGGAATAGTGTAATCTGTGTAATACCTTAAATTGTATGAGACGATGTCTGGAGTTAATGGAGCAGGTGTGGATATACTCCAAGCTATCCTCCCAGTCTGCCACCGAAATATCAGTCCCTAGTTCTTCCTCCCATTTTGCCTTAATGGCATCTGTAGAGGGTGCGCTAACAGATTGAAAAGCGTCATATAGACGAGATATCAGTTTGTCTGAGGTGGGGCATATTTTTATGCATCCGTCAAACATGAAAGGTTTAGCATTCTCAAATGTTGGGAGGTGTTTTCTAACATAGTCTCTAATTTGTAGGTATCTGAAAAAGTTACTTCTGGGAAGGTTATAAGTTTCCCTCAGCGCTTCAAAGGAAGCAAAGGTCCCTCCTATATATAAATCCCCTATGGTACTTATCCCCAACTCCCTCCATCGCTCAAAGGTGTTATCAAGGTTAGAGGGGGCAAAGGAGGGATTCCTGGCAACAGGGAGCATGAATGATATTGGTCTAAGCTCAAAGTGGACTTTAATTTGCTTCCAGATTCGGACTGTGCTATGTATAATAGGATTGTTATGGTAAAGTGACATCTCCAGATTAACAGGTGACAAAATCACGGCACCAATAGAGAAGGGGTGACACTCCTCCCGCTCCATGCTAAGCCAGCTGGATGGCGGGGTTGCGTCATCCAGCAAAAACGTAACAGCGCGGAGGTTAGCGGCCCAATAGTAAAATATAAAATTTGGGAGAGACAATCCTCCTTCCATCTTGGATTTACATAGGTGTTTTTTACCTATCCTGTGTGTTTTATAATCCCAGATGAAATGATTGATAATAGAGTCCAGTTGTTTATGAAATGATTTAGGTATGAATACTGGGATGTTCTGGTATAGGTAGAGCAGTTGTGGGAGGAAGACCATTTTAATGGCATTAATTCTTCCGAGCAGAGAAATTGGGAGAGTTCTCCAAAACTGTATGTTTGCCTTGAGATTTTGCATCAGAGAAGGGAAATTCTCTTTAAATAGTAAGGAGTATTGTTTGGTAACTACAATTCCAAGGTAGATACATTTTTCTGAAGATAACTTAACTGGAAGATGTTCTAGCCAGGAGGTGTTTTGCAACCGTATGGGCATTAATTCACTCTTGTTCCAATTTATTCTGTATCCCGAGAAGATACCAAACAAATTAATCACCTCAAGAATAGCTGGAATACTAGCTTGGGGTTCTGTTACATAGAGGAGAATATCATCTGCGTATAGGGAAATCTTATTTAGAGTATCTTTAGTATTATAGCCGTGTATTGCTGAATGAGATCTGATCGCTTGAGCGAGAGGTTCAATAATTAGGGCGAAGAGCATAGGCGACAGCGCACAACCCTGCCTTGTCCCTCTGTGAAGGTTAAATCGGGGCGACATTGATTGGTTAGTGAGTATTCTCGCACAGGGGTTCCTATATAAAAGCTGGATCCAATTTATGAACCCATCTCCAATATTACATTTCTGTAGGACCTTGAATAGATAGGGCCACTCAACTTGGTCAAAGGCCTTTTCGGCGTCAAGAGATATAACGGCAAGGTCCACGTTAGGTAACCTCTGAGAATACATAATGTTGAAGAGGCGCCTGAGATTGAAGAATGAGTTTCTATTAGGGATAAAGCCGGTCTGGTCCGAATGGACCAATTTGCCAATTAAAGTGCTAAGCCTGTTAGCCAGAGTTTTTGCTAAAATCTTTTGGTCTGTATTAAGGAGGGATATTGGTCTGTATGACCCTACCTCTTCCGGATCTTTACCCTTCTTATGTATAACTGTAATAAACGCCTCATCCAAAGTAGATGGGAGAGCTCCATCCTCATTGGCCCGAACCAACATTTTGTGCAGGTAGGGAGATAGCATGTTGCTGAATGTTTTATAGAATTCACCAGGGTATCCATCTGGGCCCGGGGTCTTGCCACTCTTTAGAGATTTAATTGTTTCTCTAATTTCTTCAACAGATATTTCCTTATTCAGGAAGTTAGAGTCTTCCTGGTTCAGGGTAGGAAGATTACAGTCCTCCAAAAAGTTTTGCATAATTAAGGGGTTAGGATCCGCTTTAGATGTATATAGAGTCTCATAAAACTGACGGAATCTGTCATTGATGTCTTTGGGGGAGGAGAGTAATTCCCCAGATGCAGATTTAACTTTGTGAATCATTCGGTCACTCACGTTTTTTCGAAGTTGTCTGGCGAGTAATTTGTGTGGTTTGTCACCAAACTCAACATATTTTTGCTTGGCATAGAGAATTCACTGACATTTTCAACCTGTCCCTGACCAAGTCTGTAATACCTACATGTTTCAAGCAGATCACCATAGTCCATGTGCCCAAGAACACCAAGGTAACCTACCTAAATGACTACCGACCCGTAGCGCTCACGTCTGTAGCCATGAAGTGCTTTGAAAGGCTGGTCATGGCTCACATCAACTCCATCATCCCAGAAACCTAGACACACTCCAATTCGTATACCGCCCCAACAGATTCACAGATGACACAATCTCTATTGCGCTCCACACTGCCCTTTACCACCTGGACGAAAGGAACACCTACGTGATAATGCTGTTCATTGACTACTCCTGAGTGGCGCAGTGGTCTAAGGCACTGCATCGCAGTGCTAACTGTGCCACTAGATCCTGGTTCGAATCCAGGCTCTGTCGCAGCCGGCCGCGACCGGGAGACTCATGGGCGGCGCACAATTGGCTCAGCGTCGTCCAGGGTAGGGGAGGGAATGGCCGGCAGGGATGTAGCTCAGTTGATAGAGCATGGCGTTTGCAACGCCAGGGTTGTGGGTTCGATTCCCACGGGGGGCCAGTATAAAAAAATAAAAAAATAAAATAATATATATTCACTAACTGTAAGTCGCTCTGGATAAGAGTGTCTGCTAAATGACAAAAAAAAAAAAAAAGACTACAGCTCAGCATTCAACACCATAGTGCCCTCAAAGCTCATCACTAAGCTAAGGACCCTGGGACTAAACACCTCCCTCTGCAACTGGATCCTGGACTTCCTGACGGGCCGCCCCCAGGTGGTAAGACTAGGCAACAAAACATCTGCCACGCTGATCCTCAACACGGGGGCCCCTCAGGGGTGCATGCTTAGTCCCCTCCTGTACTCCCTGTTCACCCATGACTGCATGGCCAAGCACGACTCGAACACCATTATTAAGTTTGCCGATGACACAACGGTGGTAGGCCTATAGGGAGGTGTGGTGCCAGGACAACAACCTCTCCCTCAACGTGATCAAGACAAAGGAGCTGATCGTGGACTACAGGAAAAGGAGGGCCGAGCACGCCCCCATTAT